AGATCAAGTCATGTTATGTCCAACAGGTTAGTACCCATGCTTTCCAAGTTGTGAAACGTTTTGCAGAGAGACCTGCGGATTCTTTGATATATATGGCCATCAAGAGTTTGATGAACCTTCTCTGTACGACCATTAGTACTTTGCCCCAGTTGGCATGGTGAAAGATCAAGTGAATGTCACTTTTATGTTATGTATAGCTATGAACAAAATCAATACACTATATATGAACAAAGTAGTATATTCGTAATTCATAAAATAATTAATTAAACATAATTAGGATATATAAAAATGAATTAGCGAGTGAAATCATACTTTTGCTTGTGTTGATATTAGACGTCACAACCAAATTCATACCATATATAATTCACTGTCAATATGTCAATTATAAATGTATACTATATTTTAATTTTATTAGGAGGTGCAAATCAAAGTTCTCTAGTTTTGCTCAATAACATATTCTTACCCATTTTGCACTAGTACTGGTGCTATATATATATATATATATATATTGGATCTAACTTTTATGTTTTTAAACACATTATACAATCAGATCCACCAATCATGTAGCCTTGAGCTAAGGGATAACACTAAGGAAAGAACCAGGAAAAGGAGACTATAGCTAAGTGCCAATTTTATATGTAATCTTGAATAAAGGAAAAATGTCACAAAGAAAGTACCTCTATCCCATATCAGACAAGAATGGGAGGTCCTGGGCTCCTTAAAAACGGGTGTACTGCACATCCCTATAAGCCGGTTTATGGAAGAGGGGGTAATGACACCCGCGGACCAAGCCAAGCGCCAGGCCTTAGTGATCCCAACGGACCGGGTAGGCAAGGGTGGTAGGCAGGTTGGCCGACGGCAACAGGCAGGTTGCCGGAAGGATGTGCTGCGCACTCTGATAAGCCGATTTATGGGGGAGAGAGTAATGACCCCGTGACAAAGTGGTATCAGAGCAGACCGATCCTCGTTCTGACTCACGCCAAGCGCCCGGCCGGTGGGGTTGGCCTGGTGGAGCCCAACGGAGTAAGTAGGGTGGTCGACGGTAACGGGGCGTTGCGATTCAGTGGGGTGAGAGTGTCACAAGAAAAGTGCCTCTATCCTACATCAGACAGGAACGGGAAGTCCTGGGCTCCTTAGAAGCGGGTGTGCTGCACACCCTATAAGCCGGTTTATGGAGAGGGGGTAATGACACCCGCGGACCAAGCCAAGCGCCAGGCCTTAGCGACCCCAACGACCGGGGTAGGTAAGGGTGGTAGGCAGGTTGGCCGACTGCAACAGCAGGTTGCCGAAAGGATGTGTTGCGCACTCTGATAAGCTAGTTTATAGGAGAGAGAGTAATGAACCGTGACAGAAAGACATTGGAGATGCAGAGGAAGGACGCTTATGGAGTCTTGAACTAAGGAATAAGACTTTTTAATTAAAAGAAAAAAAAAGTAAGGAAAGGAACTTTATCCAAATCTTATGGTATTATTGTGGGTAGTTATTTGTCATTCAAAGCAAATCAATCATTGTTGAACAAGTTTGAATCAACATGACGCAAACCACTTTAGGGGCTGATGATTACCTGTTCATTTTATATATGACAAGAAAATAAGGCTTAAATTCGAGTTTAAGCTGTCGAACCCCAATCTTTTCTCCCCTAATTGCCACCATAGAGAAGCACTCACACGGAAAGAAAAAGGAAACAAACGAAACTTGCCCTAAGAGTAGATGTAAATAGTAATGTAGATTTTTTGTTGGCTATGTAATTATATGTTTTTTTACTTGTAAATCCTAATTCATCACGTAACGCTGCTCAATAGCACTAGTAGTAGTATATAAGAGCCTCGAAAGGAGAACCTGCCTCCTTCCTTTTTTAAAGCTCCAACTCAACCTTTTGCTTTACACCTCTCACTCTCGCTGTCTCACATACATGCCATCCGCATCTCTCTCTTTTCTCTTTCTCTCTCACCGGAATCTCAAATTCCGGCCACATATCCACCCCCAGAACCTGACACACTCTCTCTTTTTTCCATCAATTATTCAACGATCTTTTCTTTATTCATAAACGTCAGATCTTCAAGGATTAGAAATAAAAAACCAGATTGGAAAAGCACTGAAAGGCTTGCCACAGAGATAGACTAGTCCACCACCACCTCTCTTATCTTTCCTTCTCGGTCTCAGAGTATGGAATCTCACACCTTTTATCGATTTGTTTTAGTTTATTTTTAATTGGTTTAATTTCAAACGTTAGCTTTGCTATGCTTTTTATTCAAATCCCATTTCTCTTTTGCTGTTTATAAATGCAAAAGTTCACCAGTTTTTATCAGTTGCACGCTTTCATGCTCAAAGAAAGAAAGAAAAAAGGCCTAAAGCTCCCCCCATCTCAGAAAGCTATTTCCCACACTCTTTCTCGTTTAAAGTTTCCTTTTCTTAAAGGTCGTGAGTGTTTGCCGATGGATGGAAAGCTGAGAATCATTATTATAATAATCTAAGGAAAGAATCCATTCCCAAAAATACTCGACACCCCATAATCTTTTCATACCCCTTCTTCACAGCTTGCGTTTCCCTGGTACATTCGTGTGCTTCGTTTTCCAAGAAAGACATTCTTTCTTTTCAGCAACAGTTTTTAATCAAGTTTCATTATTTGAGCCTTGAAAAAAAAAAACACCTCTCTTTCCTGGAGCTTTCCTCCTTTCAACTAATAGCAATATCATAATTAGGTCAGGATTTCCTTCTAAGATCAAGGTTTTTTTTTTTCAAAGTGCCACTACTTCATTTATTCTGAAATGGGTATTAAGCTTTCAAACTCTCTCTTTGGTTTTGTCTCAAACCCGTGCACATTGATGATCTTACTTTACATTGACAGCTTGTGCTTTAATGTCCATATCTATTGCAGGCAGTTTTACTTTTAATCTCATGCATTAAATCTCTCTCTTTCTTTTTAGGTCTCTAGATCTCGTCTTTAATTTGTTATCCTCGTACATTTCACCTCCCAGGGTCCATGCATCCTTCTTTCTTTTTTTTTTTCACAACCTTTCGACTTTCATAGCTCACTTACCTAAAATACTCACTAACCAGCGCCTACGAAACTTACCGACCATTAGTATACTACTATTCGCAGGCCCCCAAATTCCATGTGGCACCATTTCATCATCTTTCCACGTCTCTGATATCTGAATCTTTAGCCACAGTACAGTAAAGATTTGGCCTATGCTACACAAAACCTGTTTCTGTTACTTTGTATAGCTATATAGCCGCAGTTTGCCGCACATATATCTAAGCTTTGCCAATATCTCCAGCCCTGATCTTTCTTTTTGTCATAAATAATCGATCAGCACTTAAAAATATATTCTTTGCAGAGTATGGGAGCTGGAATTTCTGGTTGTTGAGAAAGCTGATGAGGAAATAACCGCATTTATTGCTAACGTGATGCTCCATAAGGAAACGTAAAAGCAAAAGGTTCGTTGCAGATTCACCCTACTTACCCTCCCCCTCTCCTTCAATAACTGCTATCTTCGTTTTTACAGACTTTTGCTTTTAACCCCCCCAGAAGGAAAGTACAATACTTACTCTCTAGTCTATGTCAAATGTAATTGCTATGTTCTATATTTATTTTTCATAGCATTTAGGAGTAAAAAGACAGTAAAAGTCGGATAAAAATATACGAGTTAAATTTGGAAATGAAAATAAATATAATATTTATCATTACTCTTTGACTCTCTCCCTCTCTGTCTTTCACTCCTTCTCTTTGTTTCCTCTCTTTCCATATCTACGTTTCATGATTGCTATGGATGTTGTTATGGCGCTTGGCGTTTGGTTCTCAGCCATATCTGCGTAGCAGAGGAGAACTGCGGATATTCCTCCTTGATACATAACCATCACCTGGGAGAAAAAAAAAAAAGGTGTGGGTTTTTTTCTTTCTTGTTTTTCTAAAGGGAAGCTTTCCTTTTTGGTCATATTTCGGCTGGTCCTAAGCTTTTTCTCCTCACTTTTCTTTTTCGTGATCAATAGTAATGGTTTTGTTAGTGCTTTGAGCTTTTCATTTATTTTCTTTGTCTTATCTTTTTAATGTTTTTCTCTTTTTATCGTTTTGTAGGCAATCATATGTTTTGAGGATCGACAATGTTGGCTAAATATCTTGTCAATATATATATATATATATATATATGTTTAAATTCATAAGTAGTGACATCGGTTTTGATACACAATGAAGGTATAATATATTATAAAAATGTGCAGAAATTGAGATATAATTGTTCCTATTAATTATGGAAACAACATTACTTTTTTAAATAAATTGGCCTTTTTTGCCTAAAAACTTTCAACGAGTGTTAAAATTTAAACTCTTACCAAAGTAAAGAATATGGGGAGTTTTGGGAATTGCTATGAAAGAACATAAACCAAAAGATTATGAAAAAAAAATTTTCATGAAAAATGTACCTATAAGTCTATACATGGTGATGGTTGTAGAATAGGATTGACAGTGCCTGCCTAGTGATTCTAAAACCCAAAAAAGCCAAAAACCCTCTATTATAGTCAATGAGTCTTGTTCTGAAGCGCAGCTCCACGACACAACTGTACTGCTTCATGCAGACAGCTTGGATTATCTGGGAGACTGTCATTTTTGACTATGATTTTATTACAAAGGTAGTACCACTATTGGCTATTACTACTCACCTTTTTTCTTTTCTTTTCCTGCAAAATTTAAAGTATATATGAGTATAAATGGTTCTACTCCCTAGTTTGTTGTGATTTCAAGTTCAATGTTTCCATCGCCTAGACCTAAAGATTTATTTAAAGATACTTTAAACTCTTTTATGTTCCCTTGAGATCTTTATGCCTTTCTAAGTAGATCTAATCAGACTGCTATAATTTCATGTTGTTGGCTTCTTCATTTGCTTGGGTTAGCTAGCTGTCTGCCTGTACGCTTTGGGCTGAGCTCAGTTGTACCGTAAGCTTTTCTTTTCTTCACACACTGCAATATTTAAATAGAAAAGGTCCCTTTGGGTTGGTAAAGTTGCCTGCATTTGCAATATATTGTTGGTAGTTTTAAAACCCTGTAAATTCCTAGGGTTTATGAATTTCAGAATCTTGAAACTACTTTCTCATTGTGAAATCAAATCATAATTTAGTTTCCCTAATGTGAGATTTCTTGTTCCTTTTCTTTTCCAATTTTTTTTTTCAAATAATTATTTGTATAATTGTTTTCCCTTCAACGGGCCATGCATTTGAGCCCAAGTATTAGCTAAAATAAGAGTTGAGGTTGGACCAATTATCTCCACTGAAAGGAAAGGGACATGCCATTTGATTGTTCTTCATGACTTGTAATAATCCCACGGTTGGTAACTATTGCATTTTACCCTCATGTTCCAAATTTTCTATGCTGAATATAAATGCCTCCCTGCCAGAAAAAGGTACAGCTGACAAATTGCAGCTAAACGTATCCCAAAGCAAAAGCGAAAAAAGTTCAGAAAAATACAATGTGTCCGGTTAATAAACAACAAGGAAAACTACATAAGCTGCAAAGTCTTTGAGGACTTTACTGCTTTGTTTTAGGGTTGAGCCAAGAGTTATCCGAATCTACCAGTTTTTAAGCCTAATTGTTACTAATGTTATCCGTTTGAGGCGCTGATTTTCCTATCTGTTGTGTTTCTGTTCTGTTCTTTGTGTGCTGTCTGGTGCTTTATGTTTAGTCGCTGTTGGTGGGCTTTGGGAGGAGTTAAAGCTCCTTTATACTCCTCTGAAAAAAGCAGTTTATACATGCTAGATTACAAGCTGTCCCGCAAAGAACTTGGAGAAAAATGCAGCCTTCAATGCCACTAGGACCACAGGCGGCACAATTGCCGCTATGATCAGGATTATGCCCACAATGTAAAATTGTGGTCCTTCTTACTGAACTATGTTTTACTTCCACTGGAGAAGCTGATCCAAATTCTTCTTTCTTTGTTTCCCTTTGAGTCCTAATATTGAAAACTAAGGTGATTCCGCAAGGAGAGGGAGGGAAGATATGAGAAACCATACGTGTAACTATGGCTTCACAGCTACATGGTATATGACATTAAAAGCCATGGAGATGGCGAAAGCTAGCTGCATATTTTTGTTTACTAATGGAAAAATGCTTGTTTTTGTTTTTCATAAACTTGTTTATGAACTTTTCATGAGCCGACAAATGGCTTGTGTATGAACTTGCATTTAACTTCTTTCACACTTGGTAATTCTTTGTTCATTTTTTTCATGCTTGGAGGTTTTTCTGAATCTTTGCACCGTGGATTCTTGCTTTTTTGCATGTTTGCATGCCTCTTTTGGTCATCCTATTCAGGGAATATACAGAGCTATAGAGTAAAACACTATCGATATTTGATGCTATATACATCTCCTCTTTCTTTTCTTTTTCTCTTTCCCTCCTCTTTTTAGCTTGCTGCAACCGTTACACTGCTTCGTGTTTTCCCATTTGTCGTCACTGTTCTCTAAAAACCAATCCCTTATGGTAAGATTCTCGCAGAAAACGTGTACAATGTTAAGCCATTACCTATCAAAGGTAGTCTTTTGAGTCATCACTTTGTGATATGTCTCGTCTTTTGGTGCACCCTCTCTCTCTCTCTCTCTCCATTGAGATAGAGTTACTTAAATCAACTAATTGAATATTGTTTGTTCTACAGAAATGCCTCACATGCATATGAGAGACCTGAAGGAGAACCATGTGGTGTCAAGGGAACCTCTAAAGAGTTCCATGAATCAGAAGAAATCACCCCAAATGATCATCAAAAGTGGCGATATATTTGAAGATGGCAAGAAGAGTCTGGGAAGGAGGAATGGAAGGAGAAGAGTCAGAGGACATAAGGTAGATAGGTTACAGGATGCAAAGCTTGAGTCAAGCATGGGTTCTATTCCATGCAAGAGCCTTATGTTCCACAGAAGGCCTGGCTATGGCCAGTTGGGAACCAAGTGTATGGTTAAAGCCAACCATTTTCTTGCTGAGATACCAGGATCTGACTTGAGTCATTATAGTGTAAGTTTTGCTCTATTAAAAAATAATAATACTAATGGTTAACTAGGTGAAATGCTGAGACTTAGGTTTGCCCTTTTATTGTTGTGTAATGTTTCTTGGAACAGGTAGAAATAAACCCGGAAGTTGCTTCTCGTAAACTGAACAAAGCTATTATGACAGAGCTAGTTAAACTTCACAGAAACAGCGACTTAGGGATGAGGCTTCCTGTTTATGATGGAAGGAAAAACCTATACACAGCTGGATCACTGCCTTTTACCTCTAAGGAGTTCCATGTAATATTGGCTGATGAAGATGAAGGAACGGGCAATGCTAGGTAATTCATCCATTAAAACTGGTTCATACTAATTTTCTCCTTAACTTGTTCATTTTAATTGGAATATATCCGTGATCTGTTTCAACTACTGAAGGTTTTGATGCAAATACTGCTAATTTAATCAGGAGAAGGGAATTTAAAGTGACAATAAAGTTTGTAGCTCTTGCTAGTATGGCACAATTGAGCAACCTCCTTTCTGGGATTCAAGTTGATACCCCTCAAGAAGCCCTTAATATTATCGATACTGTGTTAAGGGAACTTGCGGCTCAAAGGTGCATCTTATTTGTTTTAACTTATTCTTCTGTTTCTTTTGTGAGGTATGATCCCACTGACAGCAGATTCTAACTTGTCATAATCTTTATTTCGATGAATATAGGTACATATCAGTTGGAAGGTTCCTCTACTCTCCTCATATCAAGAAACCACAAGCGCTGGGAGGTGGCTTAGAATCATGGCGCGGCTTCTACCAGAGTATAAGACCTACTCAGATGGGATTGTCACTGAACATTGGTAAAATCCTGCTAGACATTCTCAATTGATAGAAGCATTGCTTTTATCAGCCTTTTTTTTATGCTGGAATCCAATATTCTGCTTTTTTCTTATCTTGTCTTTTTGTGTTAGATATGTCAACGACTGCATTCATTGAACCACTACCTGTCATTGATTTTGTTGCTCAAATTTTGGGTAAAGATGTGTATTCAAGGCCAATGTCAGATGCAGATCGTGTTAAGGTATCGTACGGTTTGGCTCATGATGGCTTCACTCCTTGCAATGCATATAAACATCGTCATTTTTGGCATTCTTGAAAATTATAAGTAGATCCTGTACTTTAACATTGGAACACTGTAGTAGTTACAACACAGGCTGCAAAATCTTCACCATCTCCAGGTAAGGATTGAAATTCTGAGCAGCAACTTAAAAACAGGAGTTTGTTGCATCCAAACCAGATTTATAAAATCAATTCCCAAGGCCGTGATGTAACCCTCTTGCTATTTACATCTAGTTCCTGAAGAGTGATAGAGGTCAATTTCATTTTGCCTCAAATGTTGTGCAAACTCGGATACCATTATATGACATAAAAAACCATAATGTCAAGTCCTGGTAACTGCTACAACAACATATCCAAGTTTCTTCTAACGTTTGAGACAACACTATGGTACTTTGCCACTTAGCTATAGTCTAATGGCACTCTCATCGCTATTCATTGTGGGCTTTTAGCTCTGACAGCTTCTTCTGAAATCACATTAACATGTAGGAAGTTTATATCTATCCTTCACTTAGACTTGCAAATTGCAATTTATCTTTTTGGGAATGTTATTTAGGTTAAGAAAGCCCTCAGAGGTGTAAAAGTGGAAGTGACTCACAGAGGAAATGTACGCAGAAAGTACAGGGTTTCAGGGTTGACAACTCAGCCAACAAGGGAGCTAATGTATATTTTTTATTGGACTTGGCCTCCTGTTTCTCAAATTTGAAAGTTTGTCTTTGCTTCTTCCTGGAAATTAAATTTTTTTGTTTTCCTTTCATCAGTTTCCCACTCGATGAGCATATGAACATGAAATCAGTTGTTGAGTACTTTCAAGAGATGTATGGATATACGATTAGATATGCACACCTACCTTGCCTTCAAGTAGGAAATGAGAAAAAGGTGAACTACTTGCCCATGGAGGTACGCATTGCCCAATTTTCTTTAAGCTTGTATGCAGCATTGAGAGTTCCAGCCAATGTAATATAAATCCTATCACAGGCTTGCAAGATAGTTGAAGGACAGAGATATACAAAAGGGCTGAATGAAAAACAGATTACTTCTCTGCTAAAAGTTTCATGCCAAAGACCTCGTGAACAAGAATTGGACATCTTACAGGTCTAAAGCACAGTTCCTTGGATTATTTGGTGTCTTTTTTGAATAAACAGAGGAATATAAAACTGAAAGAATATTGTATAGTCTACTTTTAGTTAATTGCTTTCTTTCTGTATGTCATTTCCATTCTTTCTGTATTGTTTTACTTCAGTCACTGAACCATAGCAGATAATAATTATATTCATCAACGTGGAAATTAGCAAGTTGTCTTATTTGTCGTCATAGTAATAAAAGAAAACAATAGCAAGGTGGATGAAATTAGTGTGCATTTCAGTTTTGGCCTGCCTGGAAAAAACAATGATGACCTAAAAGTTTTTTAGTGTCTTTACAGACAGTTCATCAAAATAATTATGATCAAGATCCTTATGCAAAAGAGTTTGGCATCAGCATAGACAGCAAGCTTGCATCAATTGAGGCTCGGGTTCTCCCTGCTCCATGGGTAATGTTGAAGTCACTGTTTATTCTTTTTTTTTCCGTTCTTTCTTTCTTTCTGGCAGTCATTGTCAATTCTTCTACATGATACTGCTTCTTTCTCTCTAACATTTTGTTCTGTTGTCCTCTTTCTTTCTAAAGCTGAAGTATAACGACACTGGAAAAGAAAAAGAATATTTGCCTCAAGTTGGTCAGTGGAATATGATGAACAAGGTTAGTCTATGTCAAGGTGTGAAAGATACCAAGACTTCACCTGAAATGGCATCCTTATATTTTACTCCATGTTACTTCTATCTAAAGAAGGGCAATTCTTGTTGCTTTGCTGCAGAAAGTGATAAATGGAAGCACTGTAAGATACTGGGCTTGTATCAACTTCTCACGAAGTGTTCAGGAGAGCACTGCTCATGGCTTTTGTCAGGAGTTGGTTCAGATGTGCCAAGTCTCTGGCATGGTGAATCTTCCTGACCTTTTTTTCGGTTAAATTGAATGCTATCTCAGCAATTATCTATAGTATTGCTTCCAATAACTGAGCAAAAAAAAAAAGGGAAAGTATTGCTTCCAATAGTCTCCTTCAATTCCTGAACATCAGCTTGGACTTTATTTCAGGAATTTAATCGGGATCCTGTAATTCCTATATATTCAGCAAGACCAGATCAAGTTAAGAAAGCACTGAAATATGTATATCATGCTGCTGAAAACAAACTTGAAGGAAAAGAACTGGAATTACTCATTGCCATTCTTCCAGACAACAATGGTTCTCTATATGGTATGTTCCTCCTCGCAACTATATATCTGTTCGCTCAATTTGATTATGTTTAGCTGGATAATATTGTATGACTACAGCCTGCATATAGAGGTATATACATTATTAATATTTAAATCATTAATTTTTAAACATCATCTTCAAGCTTTAACTCTTTCACTCTTTTAAACTGACACCTTCCTGCTGTTGAGATTAGATATGCCACATTTGTTTTGACTATAAGTAATTTGTTTTGCATTCAGGTGATCTTAAACGAATTTGTGAAACAGATCTGGGTTTGATTTCTCAATGCTGCCTTACAAAACATGTCTTCAAGATTAGCAGACAATACTTGGCAAATCTCTCCCTTAAAATAAATGTCAAGGTCAGACATAACTGAATGATCTGTTCTCTTAACTAATCATGGTCACAGAAATTGTTAGGTAATTATTTAATTTGCATTGTTCTTCTTTAAATCAAAACTATTTCTCAAGATTTTTATTTTTTAGATGGGGGGAAGAAATACTGTGCTCTTAGATGCTTTAAGTTGGAGAATTCCTTTGGTTAGTGACATTCCAACAATAATATTTGGAGCTGATGTAACTCATCCAGAATCTGGAGAGGACTCCAGTCCATCTATAGCTGCTGTAAGTAAGTTGAATCCTGTATGTTAAAAGCTGATAACATGTTGCTTCTTAGCCTTAATGATTGCTGGAATGCAGGTTGTGGCCTCACAAGACTGGCCAGAAGTGACAAAGTACGCTGGACTGGTATGTGCTCAGCCTCATAGGCAAGAATTAATTCAAGATCTGTTCAAAACCTGGCAGGATCCTCAACGAGGAACAGTTACTGGAGGCATGATCAGGTTTGTTCATTTAAGATTATATCAGCCCATCAATCATTTATATGGTATGGAGTCATATAGATGAAGTCATAATTCCAAGTTATAGCTTGTTGGTCATCTTGATCATCTTCAACATTGTCTTATATGAAAAAACTGCCTGATAAATTTTGAGACAATGGAGTTTAAAGTTGTGAACTACATCAGTGCATAGTGGTGCCACATAAAGTGGTTTGACTTGAGTTTGGTAGTGGACTCAGTTTACAGTTTTAAGGTCTCTAGATGCATTAATATGGTCAATATCAAGTTTCAAAAGCTTTCCTGGCTAAAATTTTATTCTGCAAAAGCTTGCTTACTTGAAAACCAAATTCTTTTTTGAGTTTACTGCATGCTTTAATTTGTCATATCATGTCCTCCCATGCTCTGTAGCACTTATTAGATAACGTGGATCCATTCCGTGCATTTTTTATTGATGTGCCAATATACTGATGGACATTTAAATAAATTCATGGTCATGCAGGGAGCTCTTACTTGCATTTAAGAAGGCCACTGGACAAAAGCCACTGAGGATAATCTTTTACAGGTCTACCAGCTATGACTTGCAATCTTTAGTTTCATCCTGATAAGTTTATTTATTTATTTTAGATGAGATGGCAAACAAAAAAGACTATTTACACTTAATGAATAGCTAAGCTTCAAACTATTCTAGTTCAAAGTTTTCTTATGTCCTCCAAAATTTGTGTAGAGATGGTGTCAGTGAAGGGCAGTTCTACCAGGTTCTACTGTATGAACTTGATGCCATACGGAAGGTTGGTTAACATAAAGACATATTGTGCTTATTAACTATGTTAATCCTATGCTTATACTGTGGTTATGTGCAGGCCTGTGCATCACTGGAATCTACTTATCAACCTCCAGTTACATTCATTGTGGTTCAAAAGAGGCATCACACTAGGCTGTTTGCAAGCAATCACAGTGACAGAAGCAGCACTGAGAAGAGTGGGAATATATTACCTGGTAAAAACCCGTTCTTCTTTTTCTTTCTGGGATTCATGGTTCGCTTAAGTAAAATTTAAGAATATAAATGGTGTATCCAGTATCTAGCCGATTCCTTTTGAAAGAAACTAGGATTTCTGGATAAAAATAAACAGATGACTACTTAAAACCTCTCTCTGAGTTTATCAATCGAATTCCATCATGAGGTAGCTAGCTTTTTCCATCTATACTTGGAAAATGTTAAGATAAATATCTACATGGAGTTTCCAAATGCAGGGACGGTGGTGGACTCTAAGATCTGTCATCCAACTGAGTTTGACTTCTATCTGTGTAGTCATGCGGGAATCCAGGTATGGACTATAATCTTTAGAGGTTTTTGCCTTGTGGTTTTCGAATCATAATGTGCGAGGAAGGTTTTGCATTAAAAGCCCTGCATATCAAACATGTTTACCTTCAAACCGGAAATTGACAGGGAACAAGTCGACCTGCTCACTATCATGTTCTGTGGGATGAAAATAACTTCACAGCTGATGAGATCCAGTCTCTGACCAACAACCTCTGTTACACGTAAGAATATTGATTTGTTGAATGTTACATGTGGCCTTTCTAGTTATCATGATTCAAATTAATGGATCATTTGATTGCAGGTATGCTCGGTGCACCCGATCTGTTTCTGTTGGTAACTTCTAATCTGCCAGTTGCATGATTACTACATCCATTAACTTTCAAATTATCTCACAGCATAATCACACCATTCGTTTCTGTTGGCAATAGTGCAGCGGAGTGGTAAATTCTGTAAAAGTATGAGAAATCTGTAATGTATATTTGCTCTTTTACGTATGCAGTGCCTCCAGCATATTATGCTCATCTAGCCGCCTACCGAGCTCGATTCTACATTGAACCAGAGGCAACTGAAAATGCTAAAGGGAGATGCACACGCACGAGCAATGGATCATCTGTCCGGCCCTTACCAGCGTTGAAAGAGAGGGTGAAGAATGTGATGTTTTACTGTTAAAACAGGAGGAAGAAGCTGAGATGATACAGGGACCGAGGTGAAAGGGAAAATGTAAACATGTGTACATGGTTGTTGTGTTTATATTGTAGAGAACATTGTGCATTGAAAATTTTGAGAACGCAACAAACAGCTTTTCTAACTGACTGTAACAGTTAACAGAAGATTAACAAAGTTGAGTTTAGATGCATATCTAATAGTTTATCTACCATTCTACACCTAAATGCGTATATAAAGGCACCCAAGTCTTTTCATTACCAAGTCTAGGCAACGTTATCTTATAAAAGAATTTTCAGTAATATCTATTTCATTTTTATCTCATATTTCTTATTGTTTTTATGTATCAATAATTTTCAATGTCATGTTTCAATCAACCTAATATTATTATAAAAAATACAATTCTAAAACAATTTTAAAAAAAACCCATTGGTTAGATTTGGAAAATCCAATAGTTTTATGGAAATCTTTTAAATATATTTGTCAATAAAGAACAATGTGGTGATTCTATTATTGAGAATTTTATATAATTTATTTATTTATCATATACATAATTCAATGTAGTAAGATATAATCTTTAAATATAGCATCACTTGTTGGCAACATCAAAGTTATATAAATATTAAATAAAATATATTAACCTCTCAAGTTTAAATTAATAGATTGTAATAGATTTCGCTTTAACTATTGACAATGATAAACTTATTTGATATTGTATAATCTCATACACTATACCCATTTATTTACATTAAAGCCACTACACCAATTACATTTTATAATCTAGAACAATTATGATAAATAAAGAATTGAAGTATTATTTATAACTCCAAGCTTAATAATTCATTAACTATTTACATTATTTTTTTACAATATAACCAAATAATTTGAGATCATACCATATTTAGTTTAAATAAATAAAAAATTTATTAACAATAAAAAATAATAATTAATATAATTATTTATCTAATAAAAGAAATAATAAAATTGGTTTTGACCGCTGGCTATGAAGAAATTCCCGTCACACAATTTTGTACTTCCGAAAAAAGCCATCTGGCACAAGATAACATCATGGAATTTGGGCATGTGACTGGTGTCCTCACATCTTTCTTTGCTTTATCTTTATAATATATAGCTCCCATTGAAGGATAATAACTTTTTTTTATAAATAATTGAGAGTAGAGATTTGAATCTTGTTTTTTAAACAAAGGGTCAATCACCAAGTACATTGAAGGATAATAATTATTACTTCATTATGTGAAACTTAGGTTGCTAATAAGCCAGGAACCTGCTGACTGATATAAATGAGAAGCTGACTCATTAAAGACCGGCAGATCAAGTGAGAATCAACTGGACACAGCCCATGAAGTATCCCAAGGGTACTTCCTAAAGGAAAATTGAGGTCTAAAAACATTCAAGTCTAGGCAAGTGAGGTAGATGTGAGAAGATTTTGAGGAAAAGTTAGAAGTTGCTGTAGTTAACTATCAGGGACGAAAGCAGGTACAGTGGATGAAAAGTCTTAAAGGTGATCGAGACTAAAGGGTTGCGAGAGAGTCAAAAACTTAGCTTTATATTAAAGTAATTTGGTTTTTGGACCTCAATCTGTTATACTTCAAAGAAATGCTTCTTTAACCTGAAAGTTTGAGACTCCATTTCCGCCAGAGAATTTTTTTGCCTCTCAAGGAAGAGCAGCAGAGATTACAGGTTTCATCTGATATTTCATTTTCGATTTACCAAAAAGCTAGAATCTGGCTTAAAACTACAGTAACTATAGCCACTAGCTTCATGTTGTACTCAGCCATGACAAATTTAAAGCACCAAGCCAGAATACCCTAGAAGCTGGTTTCCAAGTTGAAAAATGAACCACAATACATTTTGCCAATCAAAACTTGCAAAATTTTTACTGTGCTGAGACTACTTTTGAACAAGTGATAGCTGTCTTATAATTCAACGTAAACATCAACATTCGACAGTTGAACAAGTTTGATAATTGATGCGAGCTGAAAAGAACACCACCAATGCATAGCAAACATCACAGTGTCCCTTTCGTCTCCCAGATTCTCAACCGGAAATCTGACATCAAAAGCAAATATCATTGTCACTGAGCCCAAACGCTGAAAAGAAAAAAAAGGAAAAAAAACTTGCTGGGTCCGTTTGGAAATATGAATAAATCTTCTTCAAGTCTTCAACTACCCACCCTTTTCCTGGAAGCAGATAGATGATAAACCGATTAATGGTTTAAAAAGTTTCAATTTGCAAGGGGACGTGATGAGGTGCAATCCTTTGTATGGTGGAAACGATTGTTACAAGCCATTGTCACTGCATGTCTCAATCCACAAAGGTTGCTGTCTTTCTCAGTATGGAAGAGTTCAATATCTATGCCTTATGCAATCACGTGTATGTTGGATTGTTGATTTGATCCTTCCCTGGTCAATGACAAGAAACTGGAATCTAGACTTCTCTCCGTTCCCCATTTAATCCATTTTCCATCCTTTAGTCCTGTTAATTGATTAATTGTTTAAACACACAAACACACGTACAAAATGCTTTTGAAATTATGGAGTTGAGACCACATTTTAGGAGAAGAAAGAAAGCTAGAGCAGCCCCCAGTATTGACTACTGAGGTGCTGGTGATTGATTATTGAAGTTTATAACAATCTCCTTGAGATTTGGTAGAAAATACACCCCTCTCTTGAAAAAGTTATGTTGCTAATTATTAAAGTTAATTTTAAACTAAAAATACAAACTTACCCTCTGCTAAGTATTTTTTTCTCTTTTACACAAGACTTTTTTTTAACTACAAAATTATGAGATTTAGTTAATTATGAGATCTAATTAATTTTAAAATTATTTTTAATTATTATGAAATTATATTTTAATTACGTTATATATTCTCATCCAATTACATATTAAACTTATATTTAATTCCATAATATATTAACTTTGAGAAAGAATGTATGAAATTATCTTTAGTTAAAATAAATTAATTACCATTAATTTGTAAAAAAAAGGTTTAGTGATAAAGAAATGGATTAAAAAAATAAAAAAGGAGGGAAAAGTAGAAAAAATAAATATAAACAAAATGTGAACATTTTTAATATTAATGTAAAGTAAACTTTGCAAAAAAGTTAGTTTCACTAATGTTATTCTAATATCGGTTACATTTTGAAGAAGGATAAAAAAATGTTTTTCAAACTAATTGGAGAAAGAAATATTTTCATAAGTATTTTTTTAATATAATTATCTAATTTAATATATTAAATTTGACGTTATTAAAAACTAAATTGATAGTAATTAAAGATGATTTTATAACTAATTAAACATTTCAACTGTATTTATAACTAATTAAATCTCACAAATTTGTAAATAAAAGCAAACAGTCTTGGACAAAAGGAAAAAGGGAATGCAAAATAAAAAAGAATTGAAAAAATAAACAATAAAGGGCTATACTTGTCTTTTTATTTGAAATTAACATGGTAATTAACATTATTACATTTCTAAATAGTTAAATATATTTTTAACCAAACGTTCAAAGAGATAAGAAGTTTCTTTCCAAATGAACGAAAATTAGTGTATTTTTTACTAAACTAATCCGATTTTTATATTTTAGACAAAATATTTTTAAAAAAGTTCTAAATTATTCAAAAGAACATTTAAATAGTCAAAGATTGATAACAGTTAAACTCCAAGTTTCAAAATATAACATAAAAAAATAAAAAAATGTTAGAAGGCAAGAGAAAAGTTAGGTTAAAATATTTAAAAGGTTAACCTTTTCAAAAGTGAAATACGTTATGAGAGAGAAACATTAGAAAAATCAACATGAATTAAATAACTAAAGGCTTTTCACTCCTCTGTGACAAACCTTAATTTCATATCAATAGTACACGTTAACAGCAGATTTCAATAATATTATTTCCAAGGAAGGGAAGGTAGGCAAATGCCAACCGAATAAATTTTTTTCTTCTTTCTTTTCTTTTTTTGTGTAAGCCATCAATTTCATTGCTGTGAAACAATTAATGTAGTATAGTTAGTAATTTTAATAAAAAAAGGACCACATTGGCATAATGGCAATTGCCTATACGTTGTTCGTGGGTCCTCCAATTTGATGGTGAATCTTTAACTTAAGATAGGTCGATTTCACTTCATATTGACCTTGCCTTTTTTTTTTAATTAATTTTTTCCTATTAATATTAAATTGTGGGCTCCAACAAAATGGACTCATTTTACTGGCTCGAGTGAGAAAACAGGAGAAATATGTGGCCTCGCTGTCGACACGTGGGAAGAAATTGACACGTGAACATGCTGGGAAACCAGCATTTGTGGGCCCTAACCTTTATGGCCTAATCTGGCCCACTTTGATTTCCGAAGATCCGAATTATAAGCACGTGAATCATTTCCACTCGGACCCGGGTTCTGTCCTCTCAAAGAGTCACGCCCTCACCCGCTTCTTTGACTCCCTTTATTGAGCAGCGCCTCTTGGGCTGACCGACTTCCATCTTTGCATAGTAATATTTGTCTTTGTTTAAGAAACGTCAAATTATTAGGCTAAGCAGTACAGACTTGTAATTTACTTTTTCTTTTTATGGGAGGTTTGTTCTGCGATTTTATAGCCTGCTGGGAATGGCGAGCCAAAGGGCAAAGACCCTTTTCTTTTTATGTAAGTTATCATTGTTCAGTAATCTTTTTTATTGTTCCTTGTGCTGATTGTTCCATCAATTTCAGCATTATAAATATAGGGTTCACTTAATCAGCGAATTATAGTAATTAATTTTAGATTCAAGTTTTGTGGATAGTCTCTTGTTGATTATGGTAATTTCCAAGTGTATAATACAACTTATTTTAACTCTCAAAATTGAATGATTTGTTTATTATTAGATTTTGTTTATAAATTAGAAATTTAATATTATTTTTTTAAAAGGTAAATTCTACTTATATTTTTTATGATTTTAACTTTTCTCATTTTGTGATTTTTTTTAATTAGCACCTTGTGAATTTTTTTTTTCTTTGCACCCTATGGTTCTATTTCACGAGAGTTAGACTATTAATTTTATTTTTAAAAATACCCAAATACTTTTAATTTAAATTTTATTTATTTATATTGGATTTTTAAAAAAAAATTTATTTAATAAAATTAATAACCTAACACTTGTGGAAACAAAAGTTAGCCACAAAAATTGAGAAAAAAAATCCAGAATGTACTAATTAGAGAAAAAAAAACTGTAAAGTGTCATCTAAAAAAAATTAAATCATAAAAAATATAAATAAAATTTATATTTTTCTAAATCTGACTTTTCCTAAATCAATATGAGGATAGACAAACCCAAATGCATTATGGTTAGATAAAATCATGTAAGTATCAACACTGATGAAATACCAAACATCCGATCAGAAGGATAGTTGAGTAATAATTCTTTTAAATCTAAACTCGCCGTTGTATGTCGTTTAAATCCAAACTCCAGTTTGATTCACGATTAAAATGTATAAGTACTCAATATTTCATTTCTTAGTGCAAGGCATTCGTTTAAAATTTTAAACACAATTGATAGTCATGCATTCAAGTATTTAATTCAAATAAAGCATGGTTTTTAAAATTTAAATTCCTTATTTTCCAAATCGAAAGAAAAAAGAATTTAAATACAGTTCAACCACCCATTCATGATGTTAACCAAGGCCTTATAGTAGCTCACCGTTAATATTAGTTGGTAGCTATGTGATATTATAATTAAAGACATCGTAATCAGATATAGCAGAAGTAGTGTTTAGCGAGCGGTGGGTGATGTGCGAGTGAGTCAGCGCCCAGTGAAGGGAACGGGACATTACAGTTTGCAGGGAGACACAGATCTCTCATGTGAGTAGTCTTCCTCTCTTTTCTATATCTGACTCTGGGGGGCTCTGTCTCATTACTTCGGTGAGGGGTCCTCCGTTCGCTTAATTTGGTGCCCTTTACTATTTGGTTTGTTTCAGAAAACCCACATGCATGACGCATCAGCTTCAGCTTCAGCTCCATCTCTCTCTCTCTCTCTCTCTCATGCTACATTACATTACATTACATCTTTTAAATACCTAAGTAAACATAGTAAAGGAAGAATCAACCCCATTGGGCATTGGGCCCTCTCTCACTTGTTGCTTGAAAAACATAAGCCATTGCTTTCACGTGTGGTTGTCGTGCATGCTAGCCATTAAAAGTACTAACTCACACTTGCTTCAGATTTTTCAAGTTACCGTTGCTTCTAAATCCATTGGTTAGACTCGCATTTGATAAAATACAACAAATTTCCACTTTGTTTAGCTTGCAAGATGCAGTGCATTATTCTAAATTCATATGCTTTTTACCTTTATAGGGCGAATTAAAGCCAAGGGGTATATATCCAGCTTACAATTCATTCTTATCAGTAAGGCACACTAGTAGAAATGACACAGTGGAAAAAGTAGCTATTCCTATATATGGTTACTTTTACAGAAGATTTGCTAGATTCAATGGCCTACCCACCCATCCCATATATTGCCACAAATGCCGGCAGCACTCATCATCTCCTGAGAAAATAAAGGAAGTTTTTGTGGTTGGATGAAATTTGGGTCATGTTTGGTCACAAGCAGCACTCAAAACCTGAAAAAGGTCTCTGAAGAACTTCCCAGTTTGGGACATGATTCCAGACACACACAATACTCAAAGACAAGTGACAGCCTCTCATATGAGTTATGTTCATTCCAGATCCTGGATTTCATAAAAGCTTAACAACAATGTAAAGTCACTCTCCCTTTGCAATTCTTTAGTCCCTAATGTTAAATAATACTTCTTGGTTACAGTTCAAGCTTATTTTTCATACCCTCTCTATTCATATTTCCATAATCGAAAACTTTGGTTTAGATACGGAAATGAATTGCATAATTTGCATTTTTTCCCCATTTGATAAACGTCCCTATATATCAGAAAAGCAGAAAAATGTCATTTTCTATCATAAAATTTAACTTTAATAAGGGCTATGAATGAGGATAGCAATTGATAAACTGTTATAATAAAGACCTCTAACAATTTCGCCTTTTCCATGTCTTTTTCAAACATTATTGCTAAGTTTTTTTCCTTCCTAAATTAGAATTTATGTTTGAAATATAGAATAACATTCAAGTTTAAACTGAGTGATATTTCTAACCGAAGGGTGCGGTTTATGTAGTTTCTAGCTTCTAACATTCTCCAATTGGTAGAATTAACAACATTCCTCTAAGCCTAATATGCTTAACCACCAAAATTAAATTGCTATGATCCTATCTGGCTGTCTCATCATCCTAACAGCGGCCAAGTTCCCCGATTTAAGGATACCGCAGAATCAAGGGTAAAAAATACAAAACATCCTAGGAACAGATTTCTGCTGGAGTACAATATCATTGAAAACAGCACCAATAAAGCTGTAATAAAGGGCAAAAGAAAAACTGAAAAGGAAAAGATTTTCCCATAAATAGCCAAATTACCCCAAATTTACAACAAGCTCTTAATTATTACAACTCTGCCCTACTTATGATGGTTGATGATTATCCCAAGCCGGCATCTCAGCTGCCGCATCCGATACGGCATGCCAAGCCGAAGCCGCAATGAGAGGGCGGCTATGCCAACCCAGTGTCAGACACCCTTCATTTTCTTCCACCAAATACCCTTCCGCCGAGAACAACGTCAATAACATGCTAGCTTGTTTAAACGCGTTGGACCCCAAATGTAATGGCCTAAATCCGGCTCCATTGAGCCGCGTCCTCCACTTGGCTAACGGCTCGTGTCTTTCTACTCGAGCGGAACCTTCACAGCTCACGACGTTGGCTATTTCCCTCTGAATGTATATCTCGGCTAAAGCCTTCGCCGGTTGAACTGTGCAAGCTTCTAAAGAGTCGAACATAGTCGAATAATAATAAAGTGCTTCAGTGAACCGGTCCAGAAAACCGGGTTGGTTGTGGTTGGCTTCTTGTTCAACGACAGTCATAATTTTCGGGTTTAAGCTCCGGATCCAACTCAAAACCGTTTCGATAGGAGAATTCCGTGTCGGGTCAGATCCTAGTAAGCGGTGAAGCTGCATGATTGAGTTCACTGCCACCGCTTCTTTTGGATTAACCTGAAGCATCCACGGCTTAACGTCTTCGAGCCTGGTAGCCGCGACTCCACGGAAGGCGAAACGGACGTTGACGGAGCGAGCCAGCTCGGCAAGCCGTAAACCGATTTCGCGAAGCGAGTCACGGCCATCTGGTGACGGCGGTCCAATGCCGGTCAAACGAAGCAAAGGAGGTCCACCGGGACGTAAAGCGAGGGCTTGTATCAAAGCCGGCCATTGTAAGCCGTGCATCAAATTGAAATCCACCACGTGGACGCAATCGTGACCGTCGAAAGCTTCGAGAATCGCCTGATTGGCGGTGAAGTGAGCGAATTTCAAGTAAGGACACGCTTCGTAAAAATGATGATACAAAATCTCGTTCTCATAAGCGGAGCCACCGCTGATGGACCCTCCGCCAATTCCTTGGAAAACTCTGCGACTCAAAGCGTCGATAAAATGTCCTGCAACTTTTCCGATGCCACAAACGGTGTTGACACGAGTCAGTAACCGTTGCATGTCGTCGATTAAAGAAGAAGCCAATGGGAGGTCGCCACGTTGGACGCACTCCGCACAAATCATCAACATGTGGACCAGCCTTATACCGGAATCTTCTTCCATGGCCGTTACAACCGTCAACTGATGATTCAAACTTTGTCGCTCGAAAGAAATATTCTGGTGCACCTGCGGCGTATGAGGTTCGGTGCTGGTCCACGCGTTGTTTACCACCGCCTGATTGGTTACAGGATCCATGATGAATTCGGCGGGGCAAGTAGGAGGCTGAGTGAACTCGGAAAGGAGCGAGTCGACCCAGGAGGCGAGATCGGAAGGGTTATAGTGGATAGCATCTGAAGCGAGATAAGAGAAATCTGCGGGGGAATTAACCATGGCGATTTCGAGTCGTTCCAGTCTCTGAGCTACTTGTCGTAACTCCGATGACCGGACTTTGTATCCAGCTCCGGCGAGTAGCCCATCAATATCTTGCTGCTGCTGCTGCTGTGGCTGCTTGTAGGAAGATGATGATGAGCTGCCGCTGCTACTCGCCGCTGACGTGGCGGAGTCGTAGAGCACCATGGTTCAAATTCCCTTTCTTCTTTTTGTAAAAGGGATATTAAAGTGCGGAAATAATCAAATAAGAGGCAGATTTGTCATGCCCAGGCTTTGGCCAAAGAGTGAGAATTAGTAGACAAAGGGATGGAAAAAGAGCTGTAAAGAAAGGGAAGAGATTTTTTAGTTGAGAGAAAAAGAGAAAGTGGGAGATTAGAGGGGGAATGACGTGTACTTCTGAGGATGAGGTATCTATCTTTGGACAATGATTTTTGCTGTCACCCTCCTTTTTTTTTTCTTTTTTTTTCTCCTTTACGTTCTAATTTCAATAATATTAAAACTTAGTTTAAACAAGCAGTATCCATTTTTTAAATAAATATAAGATTATGAAAAGTTGAAGTGAAAGTGATGCAGGAATTAATCAAGAAAAAAAATTTAAAATTGAACGGAGGATATTATGTTTCAAGGTTAGATTAATTTAGTTTGCAATTAAAGAAAACTTGTTCCGATTTGAAAGATTATGAAATGAAAAACACAGCCAGAAAATAACTAATACTACTACTAGTATGATAGGGTCAATGAAGATGATATATATAATATATAATATATAATATAATATTAAAAGGAGAGTCGGTTTTTTATTGAAAATGACTTTTTAATTAACAATCAAATTAAAATTTAAACAAGATATTAATCAATATACGGAGTCACTAGTTTGATTGTTTTCAAGCTTACAGCGGGCAAATATTATTTTGGTCCTCCAGCAACACTAAAGATCTACTCAACTGGTCGGCCGCTGCTCTTTCTCAGAGAATTATGTCTCCCTCATCGAGTCACTGTTTCTACCTACAAAAATTCGATGCAAGTTGTTCGGTAGCTCAGGTGTTTCATTATTATTATTATTATTATTATTATTATTAATGAATTTTTCATTTATAGAAAAAGAAAATTATATAGAGGAGTAAAGGCTAATATTTGGCCTCGCGAGAAACGTGTAGCAAGAAGAAGACATCAACAGGTGTCCTTGTTAATGAATTATATTAGGAAATCATTAATAATAAGTAGTGAGAAAATAAACAAAAAATTCAGTCTATGTCAGTGGGAGTAGCACAGGATTAAACTAGTATAGTTTTCGGTAATCCAGTTGCGTAATTTAGACAGGGAAACCTTTGTTGTTTATTTGAGAGATAATATATGTATATATCCTCAACTTGGTTGTTTAGAAAAATTAAAAAAAAAAAGAAGTGGAAGGGAAAACCCTAATTTAATTAAAGGCAAGTACATTGATCCCATATCTGCAGGCACCAGCACATTTAGCCTTGAGGGGACATACATTTAATAGTCCAATGAGTCAAAATAGAGCTAGAATTAGGTCTGCTCCCAATTCTAACGCCTTTTGAAAATTGGTGGGATTCGCTTATTAATTTTTGTGCTGTGCCACACATTGCACTTTGACCGGTTACGGAATCAATGAAACTACATCTTTATTACATCAAGGAAAATAACCTTTCATAAATTTACTATTACAATTCAACAATTACGAAGATGAATTTAGTTTAATTTTTTTTTCAGCCCATTTAGTACAGTCTTTTTTCATTATTAACATTGACAAAATTGATTATCATGACATCCTTGAATTTGCCAAACTAGACTTTGTTTCAATTAGTGAGTAAAATTCTTCAGATGAGAATGTCAAAATCTAGTAAGAATTATCATAACGTAGGATGAATTGGGTAAATGGTGCTACATGCCTTGACACTAAAAAGTAACACATTCTCTCTCATCCCATGTCCGAGGAAGTCAAAACAGTTTCGGAAGCAATAATTTATTACTATATGCAATTATTCAGAGAGAGAGAGTAGAGAAGGGAGGGAATTAGGTGTTCAAATACTGATCATTGCTGTTTGAGCACAAATGTACATAAACACATTACATTTAAAAAAGTTGTTCATTTAAAATCACTTAACCATTTACAAATCATGCAAAGTACACAAACTTGTAAAGAATCGTATGAAGGGGCTGATGTGGTCCATGGCATGCAAATATATAAAATATTAAAATACTACGTTTGGCAGTCTGGGACCATTTCAAAAGGGCCCTCAAATTGGGGGATTATTGGTTCATACTAGATATTTTAAGAGGTTTTGACGAATTTTAAAAGCCCTTTGCATGAGAAAACCGGAACCTTAACAGATATCCAGTCCAGAGGGAAACACATGATTTTGCCTTTGTTAAAAAAAAAATCGAGTGGCTCCACCATCCATAAATTAAAACACAAAAAAAGAAAAAAAGAAAAAGAAATAACTGTTATGTGGTCCAGTAGATAACATGGAATTTGGGACCAGTTTGCTAAACCCGAAAAGTTCGAATTTAAAGAGTTAAAAATTGGAAAACAGGAAAACCAGTGCTGTAATGTATTCTGAAGGGGCTTTTGCGGGTATCAAAAAACACAAAGATGAAAAAAAGGAGATTTACCCTTTTTTTTTTCCTTTTGGCCTTTTATGTTGGGGCTGGCTGGCTGGCTGGCTGGCTGGCCGGCTTTGAGGAAGTGAAAGGAAAGGGAACTGGGACCAGCAATTTCCTCAAGAGAACATGTTGTGTTTAGAACAGACACCTAAATTGTGTGTCCCATTCCGTTCTTTTAGCTGACACCATCACGTTATGGCATCTGTGATTTTATGGCAACATGATTCATGAAAGAGAGAGAAAGAGCTCAAACCTGTCTTCTGGCTTCGCTCGCCCCCCCATCTTTCACAGTTTACAACAACCTCCAAATCCAATTACCGACCTTCTTACTGATTCTGTAATATTTTCAATTCATGATTTTCTTTGGAATTCGTAATACCATGAATTCCATTTCCATACAAGCATAAACTTTGGAGGGATTGAATGTCTTTCTTTTAATTGAATGAGTATAAATGTTTAAGACCAAATGAATTACTAGTGTTAAATGATAATGAGACGAAATTATCAATATAAATAATCTTATCAGATAAGGTTATGCTATTACATTAATTTATCAACATCGTAAATTGCATTGGATAGCGAGAAGGAGAATTTTAATCCTATAATTAGCAAATTGGTGGGAGGGGAGAGAATAAAGACGGAGTTTTGTTTAATTAGATGTAGCCGCATTACAATTAGCTGACCCTATTTTTGTCTTGTGCTATTAACAATACTTTAGATCTCAATCCTGAGCGGCAAACAATGAAAAAGGACTGTGTGATTGAAGTTGGTTAATATATTGTTTTGTAAGATGAGAATTAGATTGGACATATATAATAGCCTTGGAAGTGCTTTAAGTTATTTCATCCATATCAATCGCCAGTACACACGATTCGCACTCTCAGACCAAACACGGGGGTCTGTTTGCGGTTTGGAATGTCTTCTTTCCATTTTTACACAGTGCCCGCCAACTATCGGCCATTTGCAACTTGACCCAGACCGTCGAGATTTTGAGGCCCACTAGGGAGACTTGGCAACCCGTCTGTAAGCCCGTAATTATGCTGTTTAACTGAACTCCAAATTTGTACAAGAAAAGTTGTCCACAAATAAGGAACTTCACTGCTAACAAGCCATGAACAAACTCTTACAAAACCAATGCTATTATATTTAATATAAAACCCCAAAAAAAGGAAGACAACAGCACAATCTGAGAGCATCCTCTTTGATGATCTCAATCCAGCAGCCGTTCCGTAGAGTCTCATGTTAGATCATGCGAGGGAAAGGCCCGAGGAGAATGTGATTCCAGCCAGGTTGGAGCCCTTCATCTTGCAATCAGGCAATGGGACCCAAGTCCAAACACCGCTCTCTTTTTCATAAGTGAGCCAAACAATGTCCCATAAACCCTCAAAATTAGACATCAAAACCAACCTTATTATCCCACGTCTTGCCTCTAAGCACCCTATCATAACTCCATAGGGCTTCCCAAGTTGCTTCATTATGTCACTTGGAACGTTTGAAATATACTGCCAATTCCCACTGTTTAGGCTTATGCCCCACATTTCTATGCTACTTAGCATCTTCACCCTCCTATCCGTGTTGTTGTCCATGCCCCTCGATCTCATGATCATCATGTGTCCATCACCCTACACGTGTTTCCGATCACTGATGTTCACCCAGCTGAATGCAGTGGATGGTTGCTGCACTGGATTTCCTAATCGTGGCCGTAGAATCATTGGGGAGTTGCAGTATTCAGATCCAACGGCCACCACCAGGCTTTCATAAGGTCCATTAACAGCATTGAGAAACATACAATCGTTCCCTAGAAAGTTCCCGTAAATCTCTCTTGCCTTGGTGGACTCCCACTCGTCAGTCTCTGAATTGTACTCAAACAGAACCGGACGGTTCTCCAACAACTCAACAAACACAAACCGGAAATGGCCCGAACCGGATGGTTCGGGTACTAACTTCATCCCTGATCTTCTCCAAGAAGAAGTGCCACGTGGGCCCAATGGACATGGAGGGATCTTTTTAACGGCCTTACTAACCAAATTAACGGCAATAACTGCCTTTTGGGTATTGGAAGCAAACAAAAAAATATTGCCACTCGCTGTCAATAAGTAAATATCTTCACCCGGATAAAAAATCACTTGCATCATCAAATCATCAATGGAAATCTTGAACCAACGGTTTGATTGATCGGAGAAACCATGAATCGTCGCGTCACGGCGCCATCGTTTCTTGTAGACAAACAACCAAGTAGCTGACCTTGATCGCAGGTTGCACTCCCGGATAAAATTTTGGTCGGATATAACATAAGCAAGAAACTTGTTGACTAATTTCATGCGAATGATTTCGGGCAAAGCTAGGGAGAAGAGGATGTTTTGTATGAGCTCCGAAGGAAGATGGCAGAAACCGAGGGACTTGGCGTCTGAATTTTGACATTCATCCATGTCTTTTAGCGCAATAATTTGATGTTCAAGTGTTATAATTATATATATAGCGAGGGTACTTTCAAGCATGTAAGTAGTACGCATTAAAAGGAAAACAAAGGACAAATCGTCCACCAAGGCTTCCCATGCGGATAACGTCATGGTCGGCTAAACGGACGGTGGGGAGGGTGGAAAAACTTGAATAATTTTTTAGTCTAGTCGACGTATTTGATTGTCTTTTAGTGTATAAGAAATGACAAGAAAGTATTCAACTAAGCTCATTGTGGGGCGGTAATTATACATAGGATAGCACTTAATGGCTTAGTTATTTGAGAGGGGTGAGTCACGCTGCCTATGTGATTGACAGGGAGGCCTCCATGGCTGATGCATACCTTTTTAATCGGTTTGATTGTCCAGTCTTAGACTTTCGTGTGTTAAACCAATTTTTTGTCATAGAAGAAATTACATCATCGTTCACGTTGACAGCAAATGTTAATTGATCAATGATTATTAATACAGTGTAATATAATTGCTATTTTTACGTTAACATAAGAATGTATTTGAATATAAATTATAAAATAGAATTTATTTGAATATAATGAAAAAAAATTATTTAAGAACAATGAAAAGATTCAGAGATTTATTTAATATTTAAACCTCTTTAAGATAAAGAAAGAGTATAAGTTCTTGTAACGGAAATAACGAACAACAGAGAAAGAGATGGATGCTAAATACGGACCTGGGCGGCAAAAGCATTAACGACAAGGTTTTTTTCGGCTACTAAACATGTCCCTTATTGATGCTTACGGCAGACATTAATATGTTCCATGTTGAGTCATACCTTGGTTGGATAAGGCTTTGATGTTATTCTGGCCGGTGAGGTGCAATTTGAGGGTGATGGCTAATCTGTTGCTTTCTTGCACCTGTATGCGGTGTGCTCTTTTGGGCTTTGGCAAGTGAATAGACGTTTGTATAAAGAAGTTTTGAGACTGCAGATTAGACGGGTGAAGCCATATGCAATTAGTTGTACTGTGGCTGTTTTGGTCGCAAGCAGTTATGCTTGACCGCTGGATGCAAATACTTCACACTTCAATTCCACGTCCAACAGAGCCGCACCCATGGCATTCACAATCACACACTAGGGCGGAAGTGTTGCTATTGAGCATGCTGATGTCACCCAAGAGCAAATCTGTTTGCAGACAATGGAAAGCGGCTTCGTAGAAGATAAAACAAAAGTGAAGAGAGAGAAAGAAAGAAGTGGATGAAATGATAGTCAATGAAAGCAAGCCAGTTTGTTAACTGTTACTTGACTAGAAGCAAGAACACCGAGGATAAAGAACACCAGGCTTTGCCCAGTTAACCCTCACGGTTAAAAGTTAGGCATTGGCTTTGGGTTGAGAAGTACTAGGCTATGCTGCTTAAGAAACAACGGAAAAATAGCTATGGGAGTGGAGTATTTAGAACATGAATGTTGCAAAATTATAAACAAGTGTGTCCTAGAGTGCAAATATTATCTACTTTAAAGGTTTTAGACATAGGGATTACCGCAACCAGGCTTCCTTCCGGTGTCAACAGGTATCTCATAGACACGGAATCCAGCCAAATAAATTTCACTAATTTCATAACTTATTGCAAGGGAAGCAAGTTTTAGTGCTTTATTTGTAAAATCTCACGAAAGGACTTGCTCATCACAACAAACAACAAATGAATAAGGAGCCAAGTCTGATGCCATAACCATCCATGAAAGGATTCTTAATCAGATAAAATTTGCAAATTTTCAGCCATCTGCAGAATGCCCATTTACCACAAAGGAACTAAATAAAATTGGATAACATTTGAATGCAAGCTATAAAACTAGACATATAGGAAGAGCATCAAATCAAGGTTCTCTCATGTATGGTAAGAAAGCACCAAATAACAATCAAATTCATCTGAGTGTCTAAGTTGAAAGCTTAAAGAAATTACGAGAAAGGCAAGAAGCAATTAGGACAGGGATAAACTAAAAGAAATTGGCCACTGGCCACTGATCCAGTCTATCTTGTGCATGACAGTGAACTAGCAAGTTCCCAAGACCAATGCCAAAATGGTAGAAACCATATCAAGGAACAAAATAACAAAATAGTTCAGCAGCAGTTGATCTTAGAGATGAATTGATGGCATTTATTGCAATATGCTGATCAGAAAATCAGTTAATCTCTCAAAGGCTCAGTGCCCTCTTCACTAGCACCCCACCAATGAAGCTTACCTCAATTTGAGTTACAAGACACATCATAAGTCCAGTGTTCAAGCTATGACATAAGGTTCGTAGTGTACTTTCTTTTCTCCTTTTTTCTCCAGGAGACACTACATTGGTATTAAGAATCAGAATGCTACTAATTCAGAAAATTCCTTGAAACTAATCTGGGACACTATAACTGATAGCAACATCAATATCTAAACCAAGGTCACCAGAATATCTGTGAGAAAAGAAAAGTAAAGAGAAAACAACAAAATACATATTCCTCAATTCTGATGAGCCAAATACCATATATAGCAAAACTGCAACTACTAGTACATGAAGCAACAAAGAATGCCAACATATTGTGAATAATGAGCCAAAAGCACAATGGTTTATAAATTACCAAATAGCTAAGGGCTTACCATGTTTAAATTCTAAAATATGGGATTGTGAGATCTTACACAGAAAAGGTCCTTCCAAAATTAGGGATACTAGAGATTCATACATCCCAACAGTCTTCTTCAGAGGCTAAAACCATGAAAAGTAAAAAATAAAAATTATCATATAGAAGCATGTTTACCCAACACACTCTTTCCTTGATTCTCTTCAGCATCATCATTCTCATTCTCATCATTTGTCTGCTTGGGTGTGGTTGACTCACGTGGTGGTCCAGTAACTGACTGCTGATAAAGAACCCCTCCTGCCAGTGTGAAAAGGAGGCAAACCAAACCAAAAGGAGTAGCGTGCTTATCCCAAATCAACACATTGATCACAACTGTAAGAAACTTATTAACCACACCAGTCACAGTAAATGCTGTGGCAGAGATAGCCCTCCTAGCCGCAAAACCAAAGAAACTGATGAGCAAACCAAACAAGCAAGACAAAGATACTGCAGTAAACGCCACAGGTTCAAACCAATTCCCAGCATTGGCTCCCAAAGCAGCAAACACCTCTCTATATTCTCCAGTCAAAACCCAAAAAATGGGTGCCATCATCAGTGATAACAAGTTGTTGTACAATACAAAACCCCAAGTGTTCAACCCAAGATTCATCACCATATGCTTAATATAAACCATCTCAGTAGTAATTGTCACCAAATATGCCAACGCCCACGTATATGCAGTTAAAGTAAAGTTCGAATCAGTAGCCACATACCCAACAGCACCACCCAGAATGATCAACAGAGACATAAATGTTAGCTTTGACGGGCATGGTTGCCTCCTAAAGGTCGTATCGGCTATGGCTACCAAAAGGGGTGTCAAGGATCTAAACACTATAAAAGTATCCACATTTGCGTGACGCAAAAGATTGGTGTTTGTGAAGATTGCAAGGTAAAAGACAATAGCAGCAGGCAAAAACTTCTTGGCAATATCCAATGTGAAAGGATCATGATGTAAAAACCCAAACTTGCCCAAAACCCAGACCCCAAGCGCCGAAGTTAAGTACTGTAATGCAGTTAATAAACCTGGGTAGTTGAATTTAGTTATTGCAAATTTGTTGATGACAGCAAGTAAGCTTGAACAAAGTGCATAACCAATGACCAAACTGCTTGTAGCATAGTATTGTCTAGTGGAATCAAATCTAATTGCTGACATTTTTTTTTTCTTTTGGGAGAAGGTTCTGATTTTATGTAAATAACAAATACCCAGAAGTTAAAATCAGTAGATCTTAAAATATTTTGACAATGGCAGATGCATTTGTGGAAATTATCACAGGATATGAGCTAGAAAAGGACTTCATAGGAAGAAAAGGGATGTGGGTATTTAAGAGTTCTATTGATCTAACAATTAAATGAAAGGAAACGCAGATTTAATTAAGCTATAATAAAGAAAATAAAACAGATACAACGGAAGGAGAGAAGTCACCGACAGGAAACAGGAAACAGGAACAGGGAGATCTTGGAGTGTTGAAAGAGGACTGTCGTGGAAGCAGAGATCGAAATGAATGGTTGCGGAAAGGCGAGGGCAAGGCTCATGGAGAGGTGAAGGATGACTCGTTGGATAGAGACCGAAGGGAGATGTACTATATAGAAAAATCTGCGTGTTTGATTTGGTAATACAGGTAACAGGGGCAGCAACGGAGCCAGAGCCACTTTCTTCCAAAGCTATACGTTTGCAATTAAAATCAAGGGGGAGGACAAGTTCAGCCTTCGGATTGCTTTGAATGGCTAAACGACAGCGTCTAGGAAGGACAATGATAGTGAAAATAGTAGTGGTGGCAAGCTTTTCTCATTTTATCTAGATATACCTTGCACTTTAATTAAGACGATAAGATAATATTTTGTATATTACTACTATTTTTTTTCTTTGAAGTAAAGATAAAAGTGATAATTTCATTAAAAACTAGTGTTCAAGATAAATAAAAAGTTTGTAAAGGAACATTTTAATTATTAAAATTTGTTCTTAGATAATTTTAATGATTAATATTTGAGATTGTAATTAAATATTAGAAAAAATAAAATTTATTATTTTTTGGAAAGCTAAAGAAAATATTTATAAAATGAGAAAAACAAATGCATGAAACTTCTTATATTTTATTTCATAGTTTATCGAAACTATATAATTTGAAAAAGGGAAATTTCAATTCAATCAATTGGGATAGAGATACGTATTTCTATCCTTAAGTAAATTAATATATAAAGTCAAAAGTGATGTCTGAGTGATTCAGACATTACTTTTACTTTTGCAGTCCAACATTTATGATAGTTTGATCACAAAGCTGGTCCAAGTTTTTACAGGGATTGCATTTAGTTGGCCCAACAACAGCCCAATTAGGCTTAAAGAGTGTTTTGTGTACTACTAATTAGTAATCATTAAGCTTGGAGAAGAACACATATTAACAAGGGTTCATAATGTTAAACCAAGTTTACTGTCGTCAAGTAAATTTTAGATTGGGCTGCTGGTAATCATGAATTGAAGAGTCTTCCTCTAGTGTACTTTCGAGAGACCAAGCCCATAAATCTGTTACATTATAAATGCTTTGCTTATTTGATTCCGAAAAGGCCAGACTCTGATGATCACTCAACAGCAGCTTCAGTTATTTCACTTCATTTCCCGCCATTACTTTCTATCAAAGCCACGCCTTTTCTCGTTTCACTTCCGTTCCCCTCCGCAAACAAAACAATCATGCATCTTTCTTCTCAAAAACTGCAAATCCATGAACCACCTTAAGCAAATTCAAGCCCAAACCTTCCTACTTGGTCTCCACCAAGACGGCCACACTCTCAACAAACTCATAGCTTTTTGTGCGGACTCATCTCTTGGAAACTTCCGACACGCTGAAAAAGTCTTCAGTCTCGTCCAAAATCCATCTTTGTTCATATACAATGTGATGATCAAGACGTTTGTAAAAAAGGGTAGTTATAAAAATGCCATCTTGGTCTTTGGGAAGCTGAGGGAACGGGGGTTGTGGCCTGATAATTTTACCTATCCTTTTGTTTTGAAGGCAATTGGAAGCTTGGGTGAGGTTTTCCAAGGTGAAAAGATTCATGGGGTGGTGGCAAAATCGGGGCTTGAATTTGATGCTTATGTGATTAACTCACTTATGGATATGTATGTTCAATTAGGCCGGATTGCGTATTCGAAGAAAATATTTGATAAAATGCCTGATAGAGATGTGGTTTCCTGGAACGTGTTGATTTCTGGTTTGGTTAGGTGTGGGATATTTGAAGATGCTGTCAATGTTTTTGGGTTGATGATAAAAGAGGGCCTGGTTAAGCCTAATGAGGCTACAATTGTTAGCACTCTTTCGGCTTGTACAGCATTGAGAAGATTGGAACTTGGCAATGAAATTAACCGTTATGTAAGGAAGGAACTTGAATTAACTGCTATTATGGGGAACGCGTTGTTAGACATGTATTGTAAGTGTGGTTGTCTGGATATAGCCAGGAAAGTTTTTGATGAGATGCCGATTAAGAATGTTAATTGCTGGACTAGTATGGTGTCTGGCTATGTAAACTGTGGTCTACTGGATGAAGCTAGAGAGTTGTTTGACAGAAGTCCAGTTAGGGATGTTGTTCTTTGGACAGCTATGATTAATGGTTACGTTCAGTTCAACCGTTTTGATGAGTCAATGGAACTGTTTAAAGAAATGCAGATTCAAAGGGTTAAACCAGATAAGTTCGTTGTGGTTTCTCTCCTAACAGGTTGTGCTCAGATGGGAGCTCTTGAGCAAGGGAAATGGATTCATGGATATCTCAATGAAAATAGAATTGTTGTAGACACCATTGTTGGGACTGCTCTTATAGAAATGTATGCAAAATGTGGATGCGTAGATGAAGCTTTGGAGATTTTCTATGGGCTGAGTAAAAAGGATACTGCCTCTTGGACTTCAGTTATATGTGGGCTCGCGGTTAATGGGGAGGCAAGCAAGGCACTTGAGTTATTCTCACAAATGAAACAAACCGAAGAAAAACCTGATGATATCACCTTTATTGGTGTTTTAAGTGCATGTAATCATGGAGGATTGGTTGAAGAAGGCCGTCAGTTTTTTGATTCCATGTCTAAAGTGTATCAGATTGAGCCAAAATTGGAACATTATGCGTGTCTGATTGACCTACTTGGCCGCGCTGGACTGTTAGCTGAAGTAGAGAAGTTGATAGAAGATATACCAGGTCAAGCTAATGAACTTCTTGTGCCACTTTATGGTTCATTGCTTAGTGCTTGCAGGACCTATGGCGATGTTGAGATGGGAGAACGGGTGGCTCAACAGCTAGTAGAAATTAAATCAAGTGATTCCAGTATTCATACACTTCTGGCCAATATCTATGCCTCTGCTGATAGATGGGGAGATGTAATAAAGGTTAGAGCAAAGATGAAACATCTTGGAGTCAAAAAGGTGCCTGGCTGTAGCTCAATTGATGTGAATGGTGTTAACCATGGTGCAGTGACTTGACAAATAAAGCAGTCTTTCAAGGATATATTGTCACAATCGGGGATTGCATTAAAATTTGGAAATTGTGGAAATGGCACAAAGTTGTATGTTGCTTAGCTAGTGAAGAAGCATGCTGGAATTCCGAAAATATTTGCAAGTAGGGAAATAAAGTTGCTTTTACATCAAAATTTTTATGAAGAGGCAATTGGACTGCTGGTTGGGTATCTTGTTCAAGCAGGTTCTTGAAACAGTTACTGACGCTTCAAAATTTCTGTCAAAGAGTGCAGTTAAATTTTTTTCTGAGAGTAGTCTGTGGAGGCACCCACATCATTCAACAACTTCATTAGGTTGGAACCAACAGAATCATTTCATGCAACACATTAAAGTTTCATATCAAATTCAGAAATTAGGATATTGTAAGTTATCAACCCAATATTACAAAGATTATGAGTTTACAATAGTCAATTAACTCTGTGCAGACAAAAACATGTTGTTCATCATTAATAAGAATATCTCTTATCCCCTTCACCTCAATGTATTCAAATTTCCCCCTTCTGATTCAATTTACTTCTTAGATGGAAAAGTTTGGAAAACTGGGTTTCCAGCATGTTCAATCCATATACTCCCCTACTCTGTTGAGTGTTAACTGAAATCTGAAAACTATTGTCTAACACCAGTAGATCCATTTTGGAGTAGTATTAGCATGCACATCTGTATTGAAAACAGATTTTTGTTAAGATTTTTTTGCAAATTTCATAAAAAATTCATGTCATATTTTAATGTTTGGTTATGAATATCTTTTCAGGGTTATATTCATTATACTGCTAATATTCATGGATCTCTTAACAACCGCTGGTCCTTCCTAGCAGGTATCGTTCTCTTTTCTGTTAATATATATTTGAAGATATGTTTTCTAGAATCCTCCTAACATGTTAGTAATTTCTTTAATTTGTTGTGTAGTCTTTCAAATAAATTCTATGAAACTGATAATAGCTATCTGACAATTGGATACATAGCTCACCTTTCTTGTTTATTTTTGAAAAAAAAAAAAAAACTGCATTGCCAAGGTCTTGGACATTCCTAGTTTATCTTGTGTCATGATTTCAAGGTTGATGCCCTATTAAAATGGGAAATTCATCACAAGGAAACTACTTTTGCCAGCATGGCTGGCTAGCTAGGATCGAGTCTGCACACAATAAGGTGTGCAATATAATATCACTTCCACCTTGCAACAATATATAATAACCTCTATTTGGAGTGGTTATTACTTGAATATTGTCTTTGGCTTGGTATAACTTAATAGTATTGATTGGACCTTTTGGGCCCCTTCAAATTTGTAATTAATTTGCTTTGGTGACTGACTTAACTGATATGCATGCCACAACAGCAACAGACAAGAAAGCATTCTCCTCAAGAAGTGGCCAGGTTGTGCTGGAGAACAAAACTCACTTAATATTCTATCAAACACAAACTGCAATAATATTATTTAATTTCCTCCACGACTACATAAGCAAAGCTAGTTTAGTAGTTAATAATATAATGATGACCATCTATCATTATCATAAACATATAACATGACTAGTTTATAAATGTCAGTGGTTGATAGAGTACCAACGTAGATGATCACATAAAATAAATCCCGCGGTTTCCTTAAATATCTTCTAAAATGATCACTAGAAACCCATCGTCTTAAGGTGCTTTAAATCTGCACATGGTGTCCCCTCATGCACATACTGATAGACATTACTCCATATAGTAGAACTGCAACAATGTTAAAAACCCCCCTGGTTAGGGTTTTGATGCTTCGAAGAATGAATAACATAACGACCAGCTAATTATCTATTCATGCAGCCGGAGCATAATCATAGCTGCCATCATCATCATCATCATCATCACCCTCGAGGGATGCTGCAGGGGCAGAGTCATGGTCTCCATCATCATCATCACCATTCCCTTCTATGCATGCTGCTGGAGCGTGGTCGTATCCATCATTGCCATCATCATCTCCATCTGCATGCTTCTTGTACCACGAGGCAACAATAACGTTGGAGAGAAGAGACATTTTCTTTCTACTGCTTCTGGACCAAAGGTGGAGTAAGAATTAAAAACTGGACTGAAACTTTGGTTAATTGATTTATTTATAAGGTCGTTGACCTCTAGAATAAGAAATGAGTAGAGCTGATGTAACTGTGGCTTGTTTTGGGATTAACTTAGTGACTCCGTAACTAGTGTGTTTGACGAGATGCCAGAAGTGATTATATAGAGGGTGATCTTGGTAAAGATGGTGGATAGCTCGTTCTGACACAAGGCAAGCACGTGAAGAGTGTGGAATGAAGACCAAAAGTTGTGCTATCTTGTGCACGACCAAATGCCGAGCATAGGTGGCGATACGTGGTCCAGCCACATAAGCTGACAATGCAGCAAATTCTCCTGCCTTAGCACTATTGTTGATGGCCTTTGATGTATAGGAGAGGCATCTTGGGGTCAAGTGTAAGATCTTTTGGCAGGGCGGTGGGCTAGTGGGAAAAGTGAGGCTCATTATCTTCTTCATGTGGTTTGGAACCAGCCAAATAGTGGTGCCATCATCATGGCAACACCCTGGCATCCATCGAAATCTCATTTTTCTCAACATTTTAAATTAGGACGATCGAAATTGTCTCCATTGAAGCAAGATTTTAGTAGTAGCAGCGAGCTAGGCTACAAGGATTCGGGTCAGTGTTGGAAACAAATATCATGTCTGTTATGAGTATGTTTGTTCTTTTAAAATAAAAATTATATTTTTGAGGATGGGATCTTTATACTCATGTCGGTCATATGTGTTGGATACAAATACTTGATGAAACATCAAGAGCCAAAGCAACATGCATACCAGCCAAGCGTATAACTATAACCTTATTTTGAAGGTATTCGAACTACAAAATCTTTGGGACGACTCTAGATATTGCATGTAATCAAGAAGAAGCTAATTAACGAGGAAATTCTTCTTGGTTCCGCAGATGATTGCTATAAAGCTTGTAAAGTATAATTAATGCTTCATACTTTTGTGATTAAGGGGAATAAGCACACGTGGTTGCTATAACTAATTAAAATCCTCGCCGTATCTTTCAACTAGGAGGAATAAATCTGATAAGATAAAACCATCTTATTAATTATTCTAATTTTATTTAACAAATTGGAAAGCAGTGGGGTAGCAAAAGAAAATGAAATTTATTAGTTTGGGCATACAATTAATATATAGATTAATATTCACCGGTCATTCGCTTGTTGCTACGTTTTTAATATTTGATACCAGACACGAGCATCACAGTTCACACCTTTTTTTTTTGAAGATACATCATAGTTCACACTTAACCGACTAAACTAAGTTGAAAGTGGGAGTATGCTTGAAAGATATATTGTTAATCCTGAATTAACAAGTGTTTTCATGCCTTGCGTCAACTTGTCTGCGTATGTATAGTTGCCTTAATTAACTAGGATTAGCCATACCTTTTCCCTTCTCCTTTGGTTGTTTTCCTACTTAGATTTTTACCAGCATAAAATATTTGTCCAGGAACAGCATAGTAGCACATGTATGTAAGTGTCGTGCTTAGCTGACAAAATGTTGACAACATGACGCCATGCTTTAATTTGGGTTCAGGTCCTGGCATTAATTGTTATCATCACTGTGGTCTTATTTTCACACACACACACATTTTATTCTTTATTTGGCATATGGATCTCATCAATTTATTAACATTATAACTAACCTTTGCTTAAATAAGTCAAAATATACATGAAAATAGCTAGACTCGCCTCATCATTAATATTTATGAAATCAAGAGATTGTAGAGAGAAAACTAAAAGTAAACTTCAATTCTCTTTATACACACCATTCTCCATATGAATTATGTAAACATGTTCCAGCATTGATTGAAATTAATTACAGGGCCAAGAGAGGTGGTGTTTTGGTTGAGGGGATGGTGGAAGTCGTAATGGAAGAGCTACTGGGAGCTGCCATTCAAAAAAAAAAAATGTTGGATCAAAAATCAGATATTAATTAAGACATGATTTGCCTGAGCTGAAGCTTGATCTTATGCAGCTTGAGAATCTGGTATGATTGACTTGTTTGAATGCTTCATATCAAAAAACAGCCTGCCCACTACAACAATTTTCATTTATATTGTATATTTTTAAGATTAGTTATTAAAAATATTTTTAGTAATATTTTTTGTAATACTTTTGTAAATTTAATAATATTATTAAATGTGAAAAAATGCAATTAAAAATTTATATAAATGCATTTTTTTAAATTTCATTATAAAAAGGTAGGATACTTAAAAAAAGTATAATTAAAATCAAAATTTGTGGTAGTGTCCGATACAACACAGAGTTTGTACGAGAATGACAGGGAAAATGCAATAAATTAATTAGATATTGCTTCTTTCATGAGTTTTTTTTTTTTAGGTTAGATTTTTATGGGGAGTTCTATGTTCATGTATTGTACCTATAGTTAACATTCACACGTAGAAATGCATGGAGTCATGAAATCCAGAATTAATCATGGATGATGTTAATAATTAAATAACTAACATTGCATAAGGGCAGTCTTGTTGGAGTCATTAATCAAACTGATGAAAAAAAATATATATCTTAATTTTTCGGGTAGGTTGATTAAGTTTTGGTGACGTCCCTTTGACATGTTAGAGGTCCATCCATTGCTTAATAATTTATTCGAAATTCCTTGCTCAATAGAAACGCAAGAATTTATCTTACGAAGTTGATAAATTAATCTTGGTATTAAGATAATATAATATCTCACCTATATTGATATAGTAGAAAGTCTAACTTGATATAATTAACTTAACATTGCATCATATTACATAAGTAGGCCTGTTATGTGCTTACAAGCTTATTTCTCAAACAAAGCTAAAAGACACACAGAAAAATTAAGCAAACTATATTCGTACTAGTACTAGGGTTTTAACTAAAAACTTTAAGCTGCCGGAGCAAAATCATAATCGTCATCATCATCGTCATCTCCATCACCGTCTACGGTTGCAGATGGAATATGATCATAACTGTTACCACCTTGGACCAGTGATTTTGAGTTAGAAACATATTCATCACGACGACCTTTGTCATCATGCACATCATCATACATGATGCTCTTTGAGCTGCTTCTGATCTTTTTAATCTTGTCCTCGTCATGCATGATACACTTTGAGCTACTCATGATCGGAATATAAAAGTAGTGTTTTTTCCTCTTCTTCTTGAAGGAAGGGAACTTTGACTTGTAGAAACAAAGGAGACTTTGGTTTGCTTGAGGAATGAGGGAGAGGGCAGGAGTAGTTATATAGGGAGAAACATAAGGATGTCCCGTGGGGGTCGTGGCAGGAAGATTTGGAGCGTGCGAAGCTTGTGACAAAAAGTGCCACGTAAAATCCTAGGTGGCTTCATTGCAAAACAAGTTACAAATACGAAGACTATGAATAAATGCAAGAAGATGGTTGATTCTGCGTGCGTTGATACAAGTGAAAGCGACTTTCGGCCTTTATTCGTGAGGATAGTGGCGGAGGGAATGGTCAAGGTAATGTCGGATAGTGCAAATGAAATCTTTAGCATTTGTAGACATGAAAAGCCCTTTACTTTCGTGGTTAAATATCTCTCCACCTAGCTTGTCCGTTTTCCAATCTAAAACCTTGGTAAGTAATTCTCTGGCCTCAAAATCAGCTTTCACCATTTTAATTTAGTAGTTATATTAATATTTTGTCCGTGCGGTAAATAAAAAATTAAATTAAAATTAAGAAAATTAAATAAATTAAAAGTAATTATTTATAAATCACATAATTTTATGTCATAAACATACTTATGGATATAATTGATATATTTTTTATTTTTTAAAATTATATTTTATTATTTACCTTAACATATATTAATATTCATGTTATCAAAAATTATATTAGTAGTCATGTTATCAAATTTTTTCAAGGATAATAGCGTAATCTTGAAATAAAATCATCATTCAAAACATAATACTATAAATAAAATTATTTTAATTTTTTTTTCAATTATTAATAAAAAATCATAACTTTTTATCACGCTTTAATAATATTTATTCAAATGAATATGTATAAACATATTATGTTTGTAATATGGCATTGAACAAATGCAGATTTAAAATCATTCAAAACATCATATATAAATTATTAACACTAATTGATACTAATTGAATATTTTTATTTTTACCACATTAATCATATTATTATTGCTGTAATTATTTATTTATTCATTATTTTTCAATAAAATCATTATTTAATTAATTACATAACCATTTTTTACGGATTATACCTTAAACACCCTTTTTGAAATTGATTTGGAGTCTAGGCTTGAAATTAGTAATTTGGGTCAAATTAGACAGGCTTTCTTAGCATGGCCCAAAACACTTCTTCCTCGTTATCTTCTTTTTCCTTTTCCTATTCCAGCCGCCCATTTTGAGTTTTATATTCATGTCACAGGGTCTACCCTCTTCCCCAAGGATTAATCTGATCCGATGTGTAGGGTAAGTTTCCCATTTGTAAGTTTATTTGGATAAGGTAAAGCAACGTCGAGATCCTCTTACTAGTTTTTTTTTAAAATATAATGTTAAAATATTTTATTTATTTTTTAAAAATGTTTGTGGTAATACTCTTCTTCATTTAATTTAGTAACACCTTCGTCATCGGACCACCCTACTAGTTTCTTTGTTTGAAGGTTCTTGGAGTAGGTCGTGGTATTCTCCTCTACCTAATTTAGTAATACCTTGGTCATTGTTGTTCATCCTGTTAGTCTTCCTATTTAAAGGTGTTTGGTGTTACAGTCTTCGTATAAATGTGAATCTTATATTGTCAAAATAATACTCATAACGAGTTGAACCATAAAGTTTCACATCGAAAAGAAACTTCCAACGAGGAATAAAGAAAGATGTTACAATCACAAAAAAAGGAGTCATAAATTTCACATAAATGTATTTGAGTGATAGTGAGAATAAGGTTCACACTACTTTTAACTTGTGAGATACTTTTTGTGAGACAAAATCGTGAGGTCAAATAATCAAAACGAATAATATCTCACAATGATTGATGTGGATCGTGACACTTAATATAAGTCAAGTTTAAGTTAATTAAGTCTATTTTAGTACCACTTTGTCACAATGCTATTATTCTCATATTAAAAAGTTAACTTGATAGGATGTACAATGTTCACGCTTAATAATTTTTCAAGATCTTCTTACCTATTTAGATGTGTAATTGAAACACTCTATTTATTTTTTTTAAGTGTTTGATGTGACATTTAAACCTAACAAAAGAAAAACTCCAAGTTCTCATTTTTTGTTCACTTTTTTCTCTTTTTCAAAATCTTGCTACTTACTAGATGTGAAATTGAAACACTTTATTTACTTTTTTAAAAATATTTAATGTGACATTTAAACCTAACAAAAGAAAATTTTTTAATTTTTAATTTCTCCTCATTTTTTACTCTTTTCCAAAATCCACCTACCTACTAAATGTAAAATTGAAACACCCTACTTATTTTCTTTAAAGTGCTTAGTATGACATTTAAATCTAACCAAAATAAAAAAAAACCTAAGTTCTCATTTCTCCCCACTTTTTCTCTCTCACCGATCGCCCCTTCTTCTCTCTCAAACCATTCTATTGCTAATAACGGCCATCACATCTTCGTTACCAGCGAGGTTCCCTTTCTCTCTCCCTTTTCCTTCCCTTTTTTTCTTCTATTTTTCTTTCTTTTCAACTTCTCACTTTAACGCTCTCTTTGTTCAGTATATATATTAGGAAAATATGATTGATGATGATATATTAAATATAAACATATTATTTTCAGATGATTCAACAATAAATATATATATAATTTTATTTAAAAAATTTAAATTCAATTATAAATGAATATATATATATCAATAATAACCTTATTAAAATCCAAAATACGGGGAAATGCTCGATTCAAGGAGGAGAAATGCCGGATGTTTCGTTTTTTAAGGAGAAAAAAAAAGTACGTAGATGTTAGACAGTTCCATTGGCCGAATGGCTCACCCATGTTTCCATTTGCTTTTGATGGGAGATGAGATTGAACGAAGTCACGTACGGTCCATAAGTTTTTGGGTCAGGCCTAGGCTCAATTTGCCCTTATACTACTTCTTATGGATTTATCAAAGGAAACTTTTGACAAGGGTCCCTCAAAGTCAAAGGCCGGAGCAACAGCAACCAATCATTTTCCTGGCTAACGTTAACCGTTTCCCTCAACTTCAAACCAAAGGACATCGCTCGCCACGTAAACTTAAGCAACAACACTCATTTTGAACCTAGAAACTCAAACAACTCGATATGGCTACCGCTCAACTTTCAACTCAAATTCTCCGGCCAATCCCCGCCGCTTGCGTCAGTTTTCGACAAGTTACCACCACCGGACTCCCTTCTACATCTCCTTCTTCTTCTACAACAATCTTCAAACTAAGAAAAGAAGCCATTACAACGAATCAAAAGTTGAAGTGGGCACGTAGACTAAGCCTCGTGGATCAAAGCAGCCCGGCTAAACCAACTGTTGATGTTGAAGGGTTAGTTAGTTTCTTGTGTGATGACCTTCCTCATTTGTTTGATGATCAAGGGATTGATCCAACGGCATATGGCGAGCAAGTCAAGTTCAGGGACCCAATAACAAAGCATGATACGATAAGCGGTTACTTGTTTAACATTTCTTTGCTGAAGGTGCTCTTTAGGCCTCTGTTTCAATTGCACTGGGTCAAGCAGGTTCGATTCACTATAAATTTTTTCTTTCTAATGTAAATTTTGACAGTGTGACAACTTCTTTTACTTTGGGTATTTGCTTATTTGACTGGTTGAGTTGGTATAGACAGGACCTTATGAGATAACGACAAGGTGGACTATGGTGATGAAGTTCACGCTTTTTCCATGGAAGCCTGAACTGGTCTTTACTGGAACTTCTGTTATGGGCATCAACCCAAATAATGGAAAGTTTTGCAGCCATTTGGTGAGGTTTAGTTCTCTAAATTAACAATTCATCTTTTGATAACTTTAGTAATATTTGAGAAAAATATTTTAGTTTGTGTGTTCTACTATACTTGTAGGACTTTTGGGATTCCATAGAGAACAATGATTATTTTTCGCTGGAAGGTTTGTGGGATGTGTTTAGGCAGGTATGGTTCTATAATTATTTGATGCATGATCAGTCATTTGCTGCAAAATGACATTTTATAGCCATAAATTTGTGTATCTGCCCCGTCTTACATATGGAATGTTATTTGTTATTTCATTTCTTTTTTGCAGTTGCGGGTTTATAAGACCCCTGACTTGGAGACACCAAGGTATCAGATACTGAAGAGGACAGCTAATTATGAGGTCGAATTATTCTTTTTTTTTTCTTTTAATTTTTGAAATAAAGTCAGCTGTGCATCCATGAACTATTGCTCTTCCTGGTACATGCTATGGCCAAAACAAAATGTTTTGCACAGCAATCATGCGCTGGCAGCTGGGTAGACAAACTCATTTCCTTCTGGTTTGGTAACAATGAAGGCATAAGCCTTTAATTTGGAAAGTGTGAATGAAAAATGGGAAATTTATTTGGTAAACTTGACTCATTATCAAGTAGGATAGTTAGAGAAAATTTGTATTGATGATGTAGTATTAATACTTTGCTTCTGGATTCTGATTGTAATGTGTATTCATTTAACATTGGCGTTTAATAATATGGACTTCGTATACTTTTATATATTGTCCTGTCATGCTAATGTCCTCAGTTTCTTATAGAGGTCTTTTCTATCTTAAGTAAATTGCAGCACCTTATACACAGCTTTTTTTTATTACCTAGAATGACTCCTTTAACTAGTATTTCCTCTTGCATTTTTTGAGAAAATGTAATTTGTTTGAATGATCACTGGTCATTGTGTGAGTAACGCTTAGCTGTTATGCAGGTAAGGAGATATACACCATTTATAGTGGTAGAAACAGATGGAGACAAACTGTCAGGGTCAACTGGCTTTAATACTGTTGCTGGGTAAGTGTCTTTAAGCCTTCTGGGATTCAATTCATTATGTTGGTTTCAATTCTAATTTTTCCTTTTTCTTTCTCACCTGATGTGCTTGATGATGGGTTCCATTGGGGCAGGTATATCTTTGGTAAGAATTCTACAATGGAGAAGATACCAATGACTACTCCTGTCTTCACCCAAGCACTTGATCCTGAATTATCTGAGGTATCCATCCAAATTGTTCTTCCATTGGAGAAAGATATAAGCAGGTGAGGCTTATCAGTCTAGTTGCAGTCTGAAACATCAACAGGCAGTTTCATACCGCCAAAATGGATAGAGAAAAAAATAATGTTTTTGTAATGCTTTCATGCTTTGTTTGAGCAACTAATCAGTGTATTTGTACCTCAACAGTTTGCCAAATCCTAGTCAAGAAACAGTTAACTTGAGAAAGGTGGAAGGAGGGATTGCTGCAGCATTGAAGTTCAGTGGAAAACCTACAGAGCAGGTTGTTCGTGAGAAAGAGAAAGCATTGCGCTCTAGTCTTATTAGAGACGGTCTTAATCCTAAGAAGGGTTGTTTGCTTGCCCGCTACAATGATCCTGGCCGAACGTGGAGCTTTATAATGGTATGATTTGGTTTTTCCTTGGCACTTGCAAGTTTTCACTCCATGCTTAGCACGCAAAAGGGATTTTACTCCAGGGGATTGTGCAGTTCACATCTGACAAATTTTTTGCATCACCTTAACATCGCTCATGGTAACTGCTGTTGGCTATACTGATAAATTAGGAACTGCATATTGCAAATTTTGTGCACATTATATTCACAGCCTCGAGGCCCTCGATCCACCAAATGGAATATTATAGCAATCAAACTTAAGAATACATAACTGTCTGTAATTGCTGAGAAAGGCAACACACATTTCCATTGTGAAAAAGATGGACATATAAAAATAGAAGACATTGCCAGAAGTCCATTGTTTTTGTCTGATATTTTGTTTTGTTTCCTTGGATAAAAACAAACTAGAAGTGATACTCACCAACTCCATACATCTGGAGTCAAATTCCATGTAGTTACTCAATTTAGCCATGAATTTTCTATTTTTAAACGAGCTTGGTTTCCATTAATTTATTCTCCTTCTTTTACCCAGTATGCCATTCTTTGTAAGCAGCATTGATCTGTTTGTTTCTTTTAATGCAATTTGATGGTTCTTTAATTGGTTCTAGAACTAGCTTGGGGATGGTAGCTAGATAGTAGCTAGTTTTCTATGCCGGCTGACTTGTTAGGACTGCAATGTTGATGATGCCATCTGTACAATGCCAGATCCTTCCTTAACAAATTGTTAGTTAGTATTACTTTATTATCTGTTTTAATCATCTTAGTTATTGACTCCACTCTCTATGTTCTTTCTATGGGTGACTGCATCGAAGAGAAATGAAGTGCTAATTTGGCTTGAGGAATTCACTTTGGATTAGCAAGATTACTCCTTGCAGATCATTCTTTCCGGTTTTGAATTGACCAGTGTCACTTTCTTGGAAGTTGTAATTAAGGGAACAGTATAGGCCTTCCTTGGCTAAAACACATGGACTGTAAAGCATTTCTAAAGTTCATGGTCTCATGGATGTAGCAATTTATTTAATCAAAAATGTTCAAAGCTCAGCACTCTTAACAGTCAATAACAGGGGACAGTTAAGAACTGAAGATCCAGTAATACGATCTCCAGCAGCAGAGCCTCTGCTTTAGGTCACAATGTAAAAGGAATGGAGGAGTTGCAGGAAAAATCTAATTACAGTTTGTGAAGTTTGCAGTATGCCTACTCAATTACAAGCTGAAGCAATATTACCTAATGGTCCTAATCATGTGGGCGCTTAATTTTAATTCATTGAATTTCTAAAGTCAGATAATTAAATGCTATTGAAATTCATTTAAAATGCTATATTGAGCCATATTGCGTGGAAGAAAATTTAAGCTCGTACCAACATGATAGTGAACTATTGCCTTGAGCGCCTGCATGAAACTGGACTCTGAAGCACATTCTCATGCCTGAGATTGCAAGCATGCCTCTTTTGTGTCGAAAACAGCTAGGCATGGACCCTGAAGAATATTACAGCCATGACCCAAGGAGACAAAACAGTGGAAATCATGTGACTGCCAGTTAGTATGCATGTGACCAAAATCAAACCTGGGGGAAAGTGCCACGGCTTTTGCCACCTGGAAAATCAACTGTAGAGCAGTGCTAAATGAGCTTGAAGAAAGATGTTTTTGCTTGGCATTAGCATGTAACTTTTAGCTCAAATTCTATGCACCTTGGGCTTCAGTCTCAGCCTCGAGGTCTCGGCTTTGTCATTGTTTTCGTAAAATTTGAACAGTTGAACCAATTCGAGTAGCTGATCAACTGGAAACCAGTCATCCATCCGATTTGATTCAACTTTCTTTCCCAATATAATGAAAAGGTTTATAAACTATAAGCGTCCAACCATGAAACCAAAGAACATTAGCATAATAATAGTATTTGAGTATTTTACATAATTTAATTTTTTTCGGTACTAATTTATGAAATAAATTATCATGCACTTAAACAGGTTCTGTTTGATGCTTGCTTTTGTTTATTCTCATCTTGTTGCATTATTTTATTTATTTTTCCTTCCTCAAAAGTTGTCAAAAATATATATATTAAAGAGGAAAATCATATTAAAACAGACATTCAAATGTAATTGCGTCATGTATATAATAAATATAATTTCTTATTACAAAATTAAATTCTATAACATATTATTTTCTTTAGTTTTAATAAATTTTTATTTTTTACGTTGAACAAAAATAAATAAATAGCAAAAGTAATAACTAAATTATGAAAGTTTTGTAGAATCCAAATCGAATACTCCACAGTCCACCCACCCTACAGATAAGTGTCGTCCACTCACAAAAGATTTGACCTAGGGTTTTACCCCTGGTAGGTAGACGTTCACATGAAAATGTTCCATAAATAGAAACCAACATGTGGTCCTAAAAAAAAAAGGATTGAAAAATACTATAAATGCTTTAACTGTACTTTTAACCACTCTACATATATTGATTCTGTTCTACAGAAAGTTCTTCTTCAATCCCGCGTGTTCATGTTTGAAAAATGGTCTCATGACAGTTGTAGTAGGATTTAGATAAAATTAATGATATTTCAAATATTTCATTTGAAATGCATTGTTGAAATTAACTCAAACCTCAAATATGAGTTCCTACTTCTCCAAAGTTCTTTTTTTTTTAATTTTATTTTTTCAAGTTTGATTTTCGAATGTTATTTGATGTTTTATCTTTTTCAATTATTGGTCTTGTTTAGACTTGACAATTTGTATACATCATGACATGAATTTAAACGGATTTATGTTTAGGATAATTGTATTTTGTATATTAATTTTATCAATATAATAAAGGCACAAATAAATCATGTCATAATTGTGTCAAACTTATTTACTTTATTTAAAAAATCATGATTAATTAATTATATTATTGTTTACTCACATATCCTGTGACTTGTTTATTATATATTTATTTAATTTTGTTCTTATATTAGGTTTATACATTTAGTATATGGTTAATATCTACTTATTAATTCATATAAATATTAATATTTTTATAATGATTAAGATTTATTGATGTTGATAAATCTGATGATATTTATGATTTTTTGTTGTAAATTTAAATTTAATTTAATTAATTTAATCATGCTTTAATCGTATAAATAAGTTATAAATCATATAAATTTTAACCATGTAAATAAATTATATTATGTCGTATAAAATTAACCCAATATATTAATTATGTTGTATTATATTACATTTTTATTAAATGTATCCGTACACTTATTTAAGATCTTGATATAATTAATTAATCATGTCGTATTTAGTTTTTGATGTATCTTTTTAAAAGAATTATACACATCTAAACATACAAAGTTATTTAGAAAAGTATCAAAAGAAAAAATATTTAAAAAAGAGAAAAACAGAAAATAAAGTTAAAATTAATAAAAAATAATTTAGCGCAAATTTCAGAAAAAAAGACAGTGTTGAGATGATATCAACTCAAGTTTTTTGAAAATAGAAATCGATAATGTATAACTAGTAATTGTTTAGTTTTGAGCTAATCTTTCTTTTAAAGAAAATTATTTTAATATAATATCCATGGAGCTTTTAAGGTATATTTAAAAATTATTTAAATTCCACCGACAGATTAAAAGATTATCACATAACTTTCTCGGGTATATTTAAAAAATTAAAAAATTTAATATAACAAAGTAAAAAACATGCAATAATATTTTTTTATTTGAAATTACATGTGACAATGTTTTAATTTCGTATGTGAAGAATAAAAATTTCACTATTTATAGAATAATAATATTTTTTAATTAGATTTGTGGCCATAAAGAAAAAAATTGTTTTGGCACATTCTTTTTATAGATAATTTCTTTTTATATATAAGCTTGAAAATAAGTTTCTCTTATTTAATTCTTTTTGGTTTCTTTTTTTTGTTACAAGCATAAGCTTAGGTTTAATCTTATGTAACTTAAACTCTGAAAATGAAATTTAAGTAAATTTATAAATTATAAATCTATGTTTTCAATCTAAAAAATATATATGATAAGTGTTGAAAGATATATATTTATATTTTCAAGATCATTTTATTTCTTTTTGATGTGAGATTTGAAATATTTTTAATAATTTTAATTTAAAAGATATAAATTAAAATATATTTTTAAAAAATGAAAAAAACAACCATATAAATTATGTATAATTGTGGAGATATGGTAAACGACATGATTGTTTATCAATCATTCAAATTTTATTTGTCCAATATATGCATGAAATTGATATCAACCACTCATAAAAAAAGTGGAAAAAAAATACACACGCACATAAATTCAAATATTTATTATGTTAAAAGAGAAATTAATATCTATATTCATACGAAAAAAATAATAATAAGAAAATTGACAATTTAATTTTTTTAGAAGGATTGATAATGAAAGTTTTGAATTCCACTTTATTATTATTATTTTTCCTTTGGACCACTCGCTAGAAATAGATAAAGTAATAAAATATTGCCGTCTACGTTTTTTCTGTCTCTCTCGCTCTCTCGGCCTTTTCTAAATTTAAAAGAGTTGGGAAGCAAAAGTGATACCTATAGCCAGTTGCCAAGAAACTGGCAGCAACGGGCTGAAACAAAGCGGAGCCGTCTGATTGAAAACGACAACGTGTTTTTGGCCGTGAACCCCGAGAGAGAACACGGTCAAACGTTCCCAAACCCCAGACGGCGCCGCCTCTTAAAATTCAAAACGCGTCCAGTACGCCACTTTCTTCGTCGGTTTTGTCATCATTTTCCCATTTCCCTTCACGTTCTTTTTTTTTTTCTTTTTTGTTTATTTTTCTATTTTAGCAGAAACGGTTTTCATTTTTTATTTACAATTGATTATTCAGTGCTTTTTAAGGTTTACTATACTTGATTCGTTTCAAATTTTTTAATATCCGTTGATCTCTCTTCTCTGTTTCGACGCACTTACGTGCCTCTTATTTGTAGTCTTTTCTTTTAGCGCCTCTCTCCCTTCTTCTCTGTCTCCGTGGTTTTTCTTGAAGAGATTCAATTATCGAGCGACCCTTTGGTGGCTTTTGGCGATCAAGGTGAGTTTTTTTTTTTTATTAATTTCCATTGACAGTTGATTTTATGTTGTTTCAGTGTGAACTGTGATCTGGGTTTTTTCTGTAAGGTCTTTTATCTGGCTAATTGGTTTGAATTATTGGAAAAGTTTTGTCTTTCGATGCAAATTCTCGTCTGGGTTTTTATGTTTTTTTCCCAGGATCAGTTCTCACAACTATGTACAATTTATGAAATTGATGTGGAACTCTGATCCGCGTTTGCAAAATCCTAGTTAGATTTGATGTGAAACTTTTTTTTT